TTAAGATTTGGTATGCAACTAAATAGAAATATATTTTTAGAGCACATTTTTACCTCTCTTTCCTTTGCGCTCTCGCTTTTCGCTTTCCTTTGTTGACAATTTTCCACTTTTTTGATTCAATTATTTGAATTTTTTTTTTTGTATTTTGATGTCGCGCTTGATTTGAGCCAAATATTTGATTGGCTGCTTAAAAATATATTAGCACCTTTTTTTTTTTTATTTATTTTTTACTATTGTTGTGGCTGTTGTACCGTAACGCGTGCGCTTTGAATACTTCTTTGGAAGAAATACAAATTTTTATTTCAACACATTTTCAATCATATATTCTTTTTTGCCTTGGCTCAGTTGTGTGCGTGTGTGTGTGCGAGGGAGGGGGAGGGGGGGGAGGGGGGGGGGGGCTAATCTGGCTCGTTTATCAACTCATCAAAGGGCAGTCAAAATGCCAACATGAAAATAAACGCAATTTCTATGCGCTCTGCATGCGAGCTGACATAAAGAGAGCGGGGGGGAGAGCGGGGGAGAGGGGCAGAGAGCATAAAGGACACAGCGCTTCAAAGTGTAAGGGTATAACGGATAGTGTGCGTGCGTGTGAGTGTACAGTGAAAGCACGCTTGAGCGAACAGGTAACAAAATAATATTAATGAAATTTATACTAGAAGCAGGAGACTCGCAAATAAGAATTTATTTTTCAGAAAAATAATTTGGTTAAAAGAAATTCACGACCTTGACTAGATTTTCAACAACCTTTGTACTAAAAGAAACTCTTCAAACAGGAAGTTAGCTGTGCCTAGGAGCTTTCACTGTAGTTGTTTATGGCCACTACGTTACGTATACGCAACGTGTGCAAATGGCAATACACAAGGGACGACGCTGCGAGTACGTGATGGAGCGGCTAAGGATATGGACGAGCGGGGGGGGGGGGGGGGGGGACGAAGAGAAGCGGCACACACACAACAAGCTAGCGAGAGAGAGCCGTCGATGACTATTTGCTGCGTACGGAGGGGGGAGGGGTAAGCCAAAGGCTAGAGAGGTGGGGGGGGGTTGTGCTTTTTCCTCGCTGGGTATACACAAAAATTGTTTCAATTCTGTGCGTTAACAACGACAACAACAACAAACGGCAAACGGCAAATTGAAAACCAACAATTTTTGTGTGTCACGCATTAAAATGTGCTCCTTTTGGCCCGCCACTGGCCGCCATGTTGTTGTTGTTGTTCTTGTTGCTGTTGTAGTGCCGTAATTTTATTTTTTCTGCTGAAAATCGCCAACAGCCACAGCAACAGCAACAACAACAACAACAACAACAACAAACAGCAGCAGTAGCAATGGCAACTGCAACAACAACAACAACTAGAGAACCAAAATCAAGTACGTTCACACAGAATTTTCATGCGGTGTGTGTGTGTGTGTGTGCGCGTTTATATGTATTTGTGCCCGCCGCTGATTTCTGTTTTTGTCGCTCACAGCCAAACGGCTCGGCCTGGGCTCAGTTGGCCAGGCAAAAATTGTGTTGTGTGTTGTGTTGTGTTTTTTTTTTTTATGTTATTCTTGTTCTTATTGTTGCTGTCGTTGACTTTTCGTCTGGCCTGGGGCCTGGCTAATGCTTTACGAAAAATTATTTTTTTATGGCTTTTTTGGCGAAAAAAACGCAGTTTATATTTTTAAACGACGCTGGTGTGGTAACTGTTGTTGTTGCAGCACAGAACGCACGAAAACTGGCACACACACGCACACATATACACAGACATACACAAGCGTGTGCACGTTAAAATGTCGTCTAACATACGAACTGCTGCTGCTGTGACTACGACTGCGACGTCGACGTACGCGTAGTAGTTGAGTTGAACAAATCAAAAAACGTGAAAAACGTTGCGACTGCGAGACTGGCGACGGCTATGACGGCGAGAGTGTGTGTGGCAGAAGCAGAAGTGTTGCAATCACGACGGTAGAACAACGACTCAGCCAACACACGAGCGCAGCAACGCGACCAACTGGGCCCCCACAAAGCAGCGGCGGCAGCAGCGACGCCAGCAGCGCCATTCGTTTGACATTCGGCTATTGGCTGCACGCTCGTTTCTGTTCTCTTGCGCTCCCTTTCTTTTTGGCGCTCTTTTTGTGTGAGCGTACGAAACGTAACGAGGGATGCAATGCACGTGCGAGAGCATATATCTGTGTGTGTGTGTGTGTGTGTGTGTGTGTGTGTGTGAAAAAGATTACAATAAACACATTTTAGCGATATTACATATTTGGCCTATTTATTAAGCAGCAGCGGTAGCAGCAACAACAACAACAAAAACTCTCGTGCTTTAAACTCCCACACTCTTGCTCTCACTCTCGCTCCTACTCTCTCACGCGATTAGAGTTGTGACGCTGGCAGCGACGCTGACGTTCATGCACGCTATGGCTGGCCAAGCAAACACAGTTATGTTTGCCGCTGCTGCTGCGTGCGTTTATTTTATTTTTTTAAATTTTGTTGTTTTTTTTTTTTTGATTCTTCGCTTATTGTGCAATGAGCCATGGCGACTTAATTGCTTTTCGTTTGGGCTTTTGGCTTCTATAAAAGTAACAACAACAGTTTTATTTTCTCTTTGCGCTACGCTGCACTTCAAATACTTTTTGTTGTTGCTGCTGCTGCTGCCGCGATTCTGCCGCTGCTGCCGCTGTCGTTCTATCTGTCATGGCAAAGGCGCATAAATAACGCGCTGATAAAAACTGGGCGAAGGGCGTGCACACAGACAAACGTATGCACGTAATTGTGGCCAGCGCTTTTATCAACTTTACGTAGTTTTGACTTTTTTTTGTAAAGCTCTTGATTACATAAGCGGCCGCAACGCTGAAAATCTGTCTGGGAACGCCGAACTGCCGGACGTGTGTGTGTGCGAAGTTGGCAAATTTGAATTTTTCAGCATACACAGCGAGAAGACAGCGAGAAAAACAATCATGATAATTAAATTGAGTTCACTGATGCGTATACTTAACATTAAATTCAAAGCAGCGTCGGCAGCAGCAGCAGTAGCAGCAGCAGCAATAGCAGCGCGCTCAACAAAAGCTTCCTGCCGCTCGACGCGACGCTCGTGGGGCACGTCGTCGCCTAAAAACGGTTTTAATTTATAAAAAAAAAGAACCTTCAACTGACTCGAGTGAAGACGTCGCCGTCGTATCGCTATTTGTGGGGGTGGCGCTGTGGGCGCTCCACGTTTTTACTGTTGTTGTATTAGCGACTACAAATATTATATAGGTTAACATTTTGCTTGTATCCCGCGTGCTTTCTGCCAGAGCGGGAGAGCGACATGCAAATGTGGGCCGCATATCTAGCACTCACTCACTCCCAACCCCACACGATAGCATTGTAAACACAAAAAATCAAAGCCACTTTTTGCTCTTAAGTGCAAAAATCATGGGAGACGAGCAGCCAACCCCAATGCAGCAGCGGCAGCGGCAGCTTTTGTTCGGCTCTCTTTCGCGCTCTTACGCAGCCCAAGCGCCTGTCGGCTGCGTTGAGCACGAGAGCGCAAGCTTTAACATGTGCGTGGGCGACAGGAAGCAGTTCCTATTTGAACTAGTATGCCAGCAACCGTAAATAGAGCAAATGTCGTCTTGCGTGAGTTATGCCTCGCTCTCTCTCTTTCACTCTTTTCCCCACTGCCTGTGTGTAAGGTTCTCTAGCCTGTTCACTCTTCCTGGTTGTTTATTATTGGGTAATAAGGGTATCAAAGTTATGCAGAAGTATGTGTAACAAACAGTGGGAGACATTTGTGACCCAATAAGTCGCAAGTCATAATTTCGACGATCTTTAATTTTACGTAATGGGCTAAAACCAAAACGTTTTACTTAGTTAAAAATAAAAACAAAAATCAAATATAAAGTAATTAAGAGACATACCAATTGGATATTACGCAAGTTAGAGCATAGCTTAGCCACTTATTCTACGCTAAAAGCTCTTGATAAATTTGCTAAGTCGTCAAGTAACAAAAAAAAAAACAACGGAAAAACTCTAGAGAATAAATCACAAATCAGCGGCGAGCCTAACCTAGGCCCAGTAGTCCCGCCCCGTCTGGCAGGCCCCCAGCGGTGAACACTGTTAAATGGACCGCGAAATGTAAGCGGCGCGTATCATGTGAAAGAAGTTTTAATGGGTCAGCAGCCAAGAGTTTGGTATGGAGAGTCGACAGAGTCGACCTTAAAACGCATTAGCAACAGTCGGATAAATCGTAATAATTTTATTAGCAAACATGAAAAGCGGACCCAGGGCGCCTAACTGGCCAGTTAGTGTTTCGAAAGGTGTTGCCACCACTTTAGAAGTTCACAAAATCCAATAAGAAAACGTAGCGCAGATAGAGAGAGAGAGAGAGAGAGAAGGAGAGAACAAGAGAGCGAGCGAGTATTTGAGAGACGTGACAAGTGCAGGCGCGCTCAAGGTAAATGCGTTGCTGCTGCAGCCGACGGCGACGCGTCGCCAACATGCAAGATCAACTGAGCCGAATGGCCAAAAACGAGCGAGAGTGAGAGGCAGAGAGCGAACAGCGCGCAACGAAATGCCAAGCAAAAGAAAAACCACGCGCGAGTGACAATCAGACAGCAACGCACACGAACACACACACATACACACACGTACACACAAACGTACAAATGCCCAGTTGGATGCTGGCAGCCACCGGTCGGTCTAGCGTCAAGTGTTGACTAATACCCGTTTTAACCAGCAGAGTTAGAGCCAAAGCAAAGAACCTTTCCCCCTCCCCCATCGCTTGTTTGACATACTGACCCAATTCCCGGTTTCGATTTTCTGGTTTTTCTTACAAATACACGTTTTCCGCTGCATGCACACACACACACACACACAGAGACAGACACACGAGAGGTGCGTGTGTTCTGCTGGAAAAACAAGTTGCATGCATAGAATTTTCGCCACCGCCAACTAAACTACCAATTGCGCTTATTCCCAAAAAAATATACATATATATATAACAATATTAAAGCAGCTCCCCCCGTTGACCCACACTTACCGTTATACGCAGCGTTACGTTATGTCTTGTTGCTTGAAGAGAGATTCTTGTTGCTGTTGCATTCGCACACACACACAAATACAATTCGGGAGATGGGACGCGTTCTTGATACGTTACGGAGTTACGTTACTTTAGTTTTTTTTTTTTTTTTGCTTTTATTACTCAATGCGTAAAAGACGGTTAAAGTTTGACGGATGCGCGACGGTTAACGGTTAATGTTGTTAATTGGTGGTTTGAGTGTGTTGTTCTTGTTTGTTGTTGTTTTCTTATGTTGCGTTCCGATTTGAAGTTGAAATTACACTATTTTATTTTTATTTTTATACTACTAGAGATCTTACTTCCTACGAATCACAATTACAAGTGAATATGAGACCCCTCCGAAAATAACGACAGTTCCACATGCAAATGAAATTCTAAGCACCGACTACTGTATGTCCTCCAATAATAACACACAAACTCTATCTTACACACGCTCGAACATTTCAAAAATCACACATGTACGTACATAAGTGTGTATGTGTGTGTGTGTGTGTGTGCATGTGTTTGTTGCAGCACATGCAGCGCGCGTCGTCTATAAAAAGGTACCGCAATCACCGCTGAGGGGAAATCAACACGCACAAACACTTTTCCGCACCGAAATTTTCATGTGACGTAACAATTTTTGGCTTTTTTTCAATTCACACGAAATTGACTAATTAACTAAACTGGCCAACGGGATCGTTTCTGATATATGTAACGGTGATTTTCAATTCAAATTTTATCAAAGAGAATGACAACGAACCCACACGGCACAGCACGGATTTATTTTTAACGTAAATAATGATTTGGTTGTAGTGTTGGGTTGTACATCAGTGTGCGTGAGTGTTGGAAATTGTGGCCAGTAGCAGATGTCGCCGAATGTCGCTGTTACAGCTACTAGTCCAATGTTATGGTTAGTATGCTGTTCACGGCACATGCAAGCAAAGCGCGATGCAATTGTAAAGTTGACCTGAAAATGAAATTATATTAGAAAAAGCTATAACCAAATCGATTTAATTATAGTTATTTATGTAATAATAATGACGATCATATATAATTTAAACAAAAGCAATACTGAAAAACGGTTCTGTTAACAGAATGTTATCGGAATGCGAGCGAACAGCTGACTGCTGTTGCTTGTGCAGCCTGGCAGAGGTGAGCTGTTATTGGCTTCTGATTAGTGCTGCCAGCTTTTTTAGCGGCAAAACAAGCTAGTTTTGGGAAACAAAGGTGAAGAGGCCATATGTATATTAATTTTAAAAAAAATTTAAGGAAATAATAATAATAATTAATAAAATAAAACTTTTTTAAAGTAATGTTTACTCCTATATATATCAATTGAGAATTGCAAGCATTTTGATAAATAAACCAAGATCTTTAAGCCTTCGAATTGTCATTATAATGTACAAAAAAACATAAAAAATTGGAATTTGACAGTTCCTGCTGACAGTTATATATAAATATACACTTTCACCATAAAAGGCCAAATCTGACGGGAAACGTGCGAGTCTGGCAGCACTGCTGCTGTTACTTAAATGTTAACCAACAGCTATCTGTGGATTTATTTGCAAGCTGCGACTGTGAAACGCAATTTATTCGACTAAATATAAATGAAAATGTGTTTTTGTTTGGTTTTAAGTAAAAACACAGCGATTCGTTAGCGCGCGCAGTTAATAAGAGACAATGTTAATAACAGCAGCGCTGTTAAGCGAACAGCTGTTGTCTGTTAATTTAACATTGGCTACTAAGAAACAAAATAAGAAAACAACGCAGTTTGCAACGTTTAGAAAAGAACGCCTACAAATGCTCTAAGTGGCTGCGATAAAGACTTGCAACGAACATGTCGCTGGTGGATCATGACTCATGGTATGCGGTAAAACCTGTGTGTGTGTGCAGTAATTCTTTCAATAGCCCGCCTCCGATTGCAGGGACATCGAGTTTGAGGGCTGCGAACGCTTGCGACATCAGATTCTGGTGCTCCTCAATCAGCGGCGGCAGCTGGACGGCACAGCCGCCGCGCCGGAATACGTGCGACTGACGAGCAGCATTGAGGCCAGCCTGGAGCAGTTGCGCAAAGATGTGAGTCACCTGAAAGTGGCGCTGGACAACGACATTCTCTGGGAGCTGCGTCCGGCCGAGGAGCTGCAGCGGCGTCGCATCAACTACGACAAGCTCGCATCGCAGCTGCGCGAAGCCGATGCCAAATTCACGAGCAGCACACGCGCCGACCAGCTGCCGGCTAGCTCGAGCTCTGTGTGGCAGAATGCAGCCGCCGCGGCTCCAGGTCGGCCGCAAGATGTGGTTGGGCTAAGGCAACAGCAGGAAGCGATTCTAGAGCATCAGAATCGTGGCTTGGAGGTGCTGTCGGCCACCATATCACGGCAGCGCAATCTGGCCACGCAGCTGGGCAACGAGGTGGAGGACCAAAACAACATCTTGGACAATCTGGCCAATACCATGGATCGCGTGGAGACGGGCGTGCAGCGCGAGACGCACAGCATCAGCCAGGTGAACAGACGCGACACCACCTGGGGCTACTGGCTGCTCATAATAGCGCTCTTCGTGGCCATAATTGTGGTGGTCCTTCTGTAGGCCAAGGCCAATTCTCAACCTATACACATACCTATATAGATATATATATAATTATACAGGTGTTCTATGTTATATGTGCAGCCTCTCTGCAATTTCCATTTTCCAAAGATGTTTCTGGAGCGGAATAATGTAAAGTTGTCTGTCCGTCTGTTTCCATGCCAGCTTATCTCCTTTATGGATATAGATATGGATCGTAGAGCTATATCCTAAGCTTCCCATTTGTTGTGTTGCTTTCAAAGATATTTTCAACTGCAAGCTTCATTGAGCTTCAGATAACAATAAATTAACATCTTAATACTATATTATATAGAATATATCAGTTATATGGAAACTGTAAAGATTATTTTCTATATCTCTGCAAGGGCATTTAATATTCGGCTGTCCGAAGATAACTGTTTTATCTACTTTTATTTACAAAATTGTACTATGGAAATCTGTTTAATAAATGTTCGGAAAAGACCCGAGTCTTACCTGTCTACGCATCCTCCAGGATCCTCCACTTTTTCCCCTATTAGATCGTGCAACATCCTCGTTTTCCAACAGGTTTATTTCGTTAGATCTCGCCGGCAGGTTTTAAATTACATATACGGTTTACAAGATTATCTACTTAAGCCAAATCGGATGCGTAGGGCACATTGGCCAGATGGCCGATGGCGCCTACGGACAGCTTGGAGCCGGCAACCTTTTTGGCAGCCGCCTGCACCTGATCCAACGAGATGCCATCGATGGCACCCACCAAAGCCTCGGCTTCCAAAACGGTTCGGGTAAGCGCCGCCTGCTGGCCAATCTGCCGGATCAGGCCGCTGTCGGAGGAGTAGTCGGAGATGACGCGTGCCTTGAGCAGCGCCTTGCCGCGTGCCACATCCTTGTCGGAGACGGAGCCGGACTTGAGAGCGCGCACCAGAAACTCAACCGCTTTGCCAATATCCTTGCTATCGGCGGAGGCCACAAAGCCAAAGAGACCAGCATCCGAGTAGCTTCTGTTGAGCGCCTTGTATGCAACGGGCGCATCGCTGGCGCAGCTGACAGCCTCGCCGAAGGCCCCGGCCGACTTGCCACGCTTGGTGGCAGCGCCGCCGCCAACTGCCTGCTCGAGGATGGCAAATGCCAGCGCTTCCTTGATGTTGCTGGCGGCGCCACCTTCGCCGGCAACAGCCACAACGGCACGATGTCCGGCCGTGTCCTTGCGCGCATCGCCGCCAAAATAGCTGGCGCTGCTCTTGCTGCCGGTGCCGCCGCCGCCGCCGCTGGGGAAGTTCAGGGTCTGGGCAAAGCCCGACAGCAGATTATTCTCAACACCGACGCCAACAACGGCTGCGCTGCCGGCCGAAAAGGTGTTGGCCACATAGTGCAGAAGGCTCTCGCTGGAGATGTTGCCCAACTGGAATCGGGGTATATAGATGGAGTTGCCCAGGCCGCGACGGAAGGCGGCCTTGTGGACCAGCTCGATGGCGCGTTCCTGCAATATGAGTTCAAGAGTTGTTGCGAATTGTTGTACAACAATTTATTTAAATGATGCACACACACCTCCCTTGAGACGGCATCCAGCTGATTGTGCAGAGTTTTGGCATTGCCCTTCAGCTCCCAGGGCTTGAAGGCGGGCTGCAGCAGATCCTGCAGATAATGCAGACCGGTCTCCACATTATCCGAGGTCGTCTCAACGGTATAGCCAACCAATTCGCGATCACCCCAGGTGGTCAAGGTGCCGCCCACCTGCTGAATGTGGCGGGCAATCGCAAATGCCGAGGATCTCTGCGTGCTCAGGCTGCCAGCCAGACGCAGCAGATGCGAGGCGCCCAGCGTGTCGTACGCCTCATTGCGGGAGCCGGCGCTGCAAGCAGGCAATTAGTTGTAGTTGGACCATGCCGTGGTCAAGACTTACCGCAACACAATCGAGACACGGGAAACGGGCACCGAGGCGTCGGCTGTGGCTACGACCAGCTTGTTCTCCAGAACGTTGACATTGATGGGTGAAGTGTCGCCGACGAGGCGTGGGCAGGTGGCATAACCGCGTTTCTAGCCAAACACAAACAAAATTGTAACTTTAACTTTTACGTAACACGATTTGGGCCAAGCGTAAAAATTCGCATCGATTGACAATTTGTTGGTTAAGTTGCTGGCGAGCAGCATTAATGATATAAGTACTTACAGCGATAGCGCGCAAGAGATGCGTCTTGTTTGCGTTGCAGGCCATTGCGTTGGTTTTTCAACTTATTTGCGTTGCCTTTTAACAAATTTTATCACAATAAATCGCAGCGAGCGATGACAATTTTTCTCCACCCGTTCGTTCCCACAAATTAGTGATGTGCGCCAGAGTCAAACTATCGATTTTGCGCATTACACGATTAATCGATGAATCGCTGCAACTGGTCACATTTTTTTTATGTTGCTCATTAGTTAGAAAATATTTTACTTTATTCTTTTAGATATTATTTATTACAACGTTTAAACTATCATTTCCAGGTCGCGCGCATAGCTGAGCACCTGCTCGGCCAGCTCCTCGGATGGCAGCAGCTCCTTGGGCTTGATGCTTCGATCGGTGAAACTATAATTTCCATTGCTTTCCAGCTTCCATTGACGCTTCTCGCCAAATGCTTTGATCTCGTCGGGAACACGGAGATTCAGACGCTTGGCGGCATCCTTGGCCGATATCTTCTCATAGGACATCTCAATGCAGGCGCCAATTTCATCGCGCACCGTCTCCACTAGCAGATCCATAAAATAGTTGTACACCTCGGCGGGCATCGAGGATTTGGCCTGAAATATCTTATTGTAGCGTCCCTCCATGATGTACTGCTCCAGCGCCAGTATGGGCCGTATAAACTGATTGTGCTGTATTATATCAACCGAGAGCAGCTCCAGTTCTGTGTGAAAGTCGGATACACGATTGCCGGAAAGCAGGTAGAGCAGATTGAGGCCCAGCAATTTATATTTGCTGTCCGATTCGCCAATGATCTTGGCATAGTCGTAGTAATAGCACTTCAGCTGGGACATGTAGCGCTCGAAGGCGAGCAGATCCTTGTTCAGCACGCTGTGCTCCACGGCAATTTCCAGCACGGAGCGCGCCAGCAAAAGCTGCTTTTTCGAGTTCTGCGCATCGCCGCCGTCTGTGGGCAGAAAGGACATTTTGACCAGCGCCACTTTGAGCTGATCCAGCAGTTGGCCGCACTTGGGCGTATTTGGCGGCCGCTTGGTCCATTCGGCGGTTAGTTCCTTGTATAACGCCTCTACTGTTGCCATTTTTATTAAATGTTTAATTATTGCAGGAAACAAAACACAATTGCGAGCTGAGAATGATTTTCGCTTTTGCTCTTCCTCTTATCTTGCCATTCACTGTAAGACTACTTCGGTTGTTTCGACAACTCTATTTGTATATCGCAATTCACAACGATAGTATCGATTAATGCAGACGCCAATGCATATGCTAGCTGCATTTCGAAATCTCACATTCACGGAAGAGCTTAACGCAAATCGCATTAAAAATGGCTGATGACAAAAACATTTGGGACGATAGCCTACTGATCAAGGCCTACGATGACTCTGTCAACTTGGCTCGCGAGACGCTGGCGCGTCGCATCGCCGATTCGACCAACACGCGTGAGGGAAATGGGGCTGAGAACGACAATAAAACTGACCCGGCCTCAACGTCAGAGCCAGATTTGGAGCAGGAAGAGGAAGAGCAGGAGCGCGTTTTCAAGGTGGGCGAATTTGTGCGGGCCACCTACACTGATGGCTTGGACTACGAGGCTACAGTGGTGTCCATTGACAAGAGTGCAGGCACCTGCGTGCTGCGCTATGTGGGCTATGAAAACGAACAGGAGGTGCTGCTAGCCGATCTATTGCCGACCTGGGGCAACAAGGCGCGTCGCGAACAAATACTCTTCGCCAAGCGTTCGGAGGCCGAGGAGGGTCAGCAGGAGCAGCGTGCCAAGAGCGTTAAAAAGTCCGTGGCCAAGGGCAAGCATACGGCTGGCGCACGTCCACCGGGTCCATCACCTGGCTTGGTTATGCCGCCGATGCCTCTAGTGCCGCCCATGTTTACACCTGCCGGTGGCATGGACGGGGAGCCGGAGCAGGACTTTGTGGCCATGTTGACGGCCTGGTACATGTCGGGCTACTACACGGGGCTCTATCAGGGCAGAAAGGAGACCAGCGCCAAGAAGAAGACATCCAAGAAATAATTACAAATATCTCATAGACTCTGTCTTAGGCATTAAGAATAAATATTGTGTTAAGTAAATGGACATATATACATATATATCTAAATATCTGCATTTCCTCATAAGTTACCGTTTTTGAAAGTTAAGTAAATTCACATTTACATACATATACATATATATATTTCTGCATTCAAACATTCACAGGCAGAATGAAAATACATATGTACATACACACATGTAAATGACATACATACATAAATATAAGCCCACACATTTACTTATGTATATACACGTATTGCCACATGCATACAAAGCTGCACTAAAGCTCTGAGCCAATAATTGATCAGCAGTTTATAAACATCACTTTTCGCCCACAGAAAAACTTAAATCTTTTCCCACTAATTTACATATTAACTATGTAAATGTACGTTTTTAAAACTCAGATTAAGTCAATCGCACAAAAAACAAACAGTTACCATCAACAGCTGTTTTCCCAATAAGTAATCGCGTTCGATATTTAAAGCTATCGTTCGATACATTTTGTTATCGATGCCAAGCTACGAAAATGCCGTCGAGTCGAGGTCTACGTAAGAAATGCAATGATTTTTTTTTTGAAATAAACTCGAAAATAAAGCTTAATTTGCAGCACAGGATCGTTTAGTAGACTTTGGCGATGGCCATCAGCCCATTGTACTGCAGTACAGGTGCGCCAAGAGGTACTACAAGTGCAAAAACTATGACGCAAGTCCGGGCTTGAATTGGATCGAGTTCTGCGTCCACCACGAGGGTGTTCTCAATTTTTCCTCGAATCCCAGGCAGCTGATTTTAAACGCCGTCTTCGATGCGGCGGAAGGTGAACAGTTCTTCCCCGTCAACTATCAGGTAGGCCGAAAGTTGCTTTTCAAATATCTGGCGGCAACTAAAATCCTATGAACTCAGTGCGGCAGTCATGTGGACAGTTTCCTGGTGCGCGCCTGCAAGCCCGCGCTGGACAAGTTCTTCAGCCGTGGCCTTAAAATAAGAGTCGCCACGGGCGCTGAGCTCTATTTGAGCGTGTGGTTCAATGTGGCCGACAACCAGAGGAATCAAATTTCACCTGCGTTCGTCATTTCTCAGGTAAACATATCTATATACTGGCAGGTAAAGTAAGGTCTTACCTGGACAGAGTCAAAATCAGTATCTGACTCCTTATATATTACATTTTGTAGAGCTTTGAATCGGGTTTGAAACCGATCGGATTTTACCCTTACAAGCTATATTGCTTGCCAAGCCTTGTGGATTTTCCGAAACGCATGAAACATATTCTCAATGAATTTTCACAATAACTTTTAAAAATGATTTTGCAGCCCTTCGGTTAAAAATTGTATAATACAAACAAAGTCCTATCCTCTCTCCCCGCCTCCTCTGCCAGCCTTCTCTTCCCGCCTCCTTACCCCGCATCCTCTTACCGCCTCCTCTTCCCGCCTCCTCTCCCCGCCTTCTCTTCCCGCCTCCTCTCCCCGCCTCCTCTCCCCGCCTTCTCTCCCCGCCTCCTCTCCCCGCCTTCTCTTCCCTCCTTCTCTCTCCGCCTCCTCTCCCCGCCTCCTTACCCCGCATCCTCTTCTCGGATCCTCTTCCCGCCTCCTCTGTTCCTTAATAATCAATTAGGATAACAATTCTTATCTCAATCTTGTCTCATGTTAATCAGCCCGTTCTTTATCTGACGACCTCACATTTCGCCAGGTTATAGATCGCCTCCTGGGTCGTCTGGAGCATTATAATGGCGTACACGGTGTGCTCAATCTGAGCAACTTTAGTGCCAATCCGTATTTTAAGCACTTTGAGGTTAGGCTCTCGAATTCGGGCACTTTCCATTTGGTCTGCTCAACGATCAACAACAACGACGATCGACGTCGTGCCATAAAAGGCTTTTGTCTAGCCCATAATCAGCTATCCGATCTGGGACCGCTGCGAATCTTTGGTGACATTGACTACGGTCTGCTGGATCTCACCGGCAATATGGTGAGCTTTTGTTTAACTCTGCAATTCCTTAACTAAACCAAAGTTTTTGTGATTGCAGTTAACCTCAGCTAAGCGCCTTTGCAGCGACTTGCAACGCTTTCGTGCCAAGCATCTAAATCTGGCTAATAATCCCATTACCAAATCGGCCAAATATCCCGACTGCTTAAAGCCATTGATGGGCAACTTTGAGATTGTGGTAAGCTACATGCTGCGGCTCTTAAATGTGGCCTTAAGGGATATATGAAAGTGTACACTTTTCCTGCCCTTTTAGGACGGCGTGCCCTTTGACAAGCTGTACAAGATGTACACGCCGCTCAACTATGAGATCGATGTGGAGTGCGATGGCGTGCGTATTGACTGGAGCAACAAATCGAAGCTGGCCCAGTTTAAGGACAGCAAGGATTGGCATGCATTTTTGGTAGGCCATGGATGAATACGCAAATAATATGTAAATTAAAGTAAACTCTTTGTGAACAGATACCCGATCCGGAGCACGAATTTGCTAGGGAGGATCTCTTTGACTATTTCTTCATTTTGGTTTCCAGCGAGCTGAGCGAATTCTATCCCTGCTACTACAAGGTGAGCTGGATGAGCTCGATATCGAGCTGGACACGTTCTCAACGCTTCCTATTAACCTTTTGTAGTACGACGGCGGCGAGCATCGGTTTCTGGTGCGCGATTGCTACGATCAGATCGAGCATCTGGTGCACAATTGCAATCTGGAGATGAAAATACCGCAACTGAATTCGAATTATCAGCGCTCGATTGCCTACTATCTGCGCATGAATGTGAGCACACTGAAGCAGGGTCATGTTGAGCCGAAGCAGTGCATCGAGGAGGCACTGCAGAAGCGCTTCAATGCCATCAATCGTGTGCTCAATCTGGACCAGTTCCACAACACCGATGTCCTGGAGAACGTACATGTGTGCATGACCTCGGCCAAGATACTCAACAGCATTTTGCGAATGGCCTCGCGTAAATTTCTCGGCAACTGCGTTGATTTGCGACTGTGCAACAATAAGATTCTGGGCCTCAACAATTTGCGCACATTGTCGCTGCTGAACGGGCTGCAGGCCCTGGACTTGGGTCAGAACTGGATAGATGATATGTCGGCGATTAGTGCGCTTGGCGAGGTGCCGCTGAAATCGTTGCGTCTGCACGGCAATTCCCTGTGCCGCAAGTACAGTCTGCCCAGCGCATATATTCGCGCCGCAAAGGAGATATGCCCCGGTCTGCAGCGGCTGGACGATGTCGATCTGAGCAGCAGGCCAGGTCTGGCGACGCAAAAGGATTTCCTCTGCGATCCGGCTGCCTACGAGCTGACCGGCGATCTATTTCTTTGCCAGTTTCTGCGTGAATTCGAGCTATCCGATCGGCGCATCAATCTGAGCCGCTTTTACACCGACAGCTCCATATTCACATTGACCTGCAGCTATGACATCCGACGTTGCCATCCCGTGAAGCCCAGCAACGAGCTGTGCAAGCGCATCAACAAGTACAACTACTTTAGCCGCAATCTCTTGAAGAACTCACGCGACACCTGCCGCGTCCACGTGGGCAGCCACGATATAATGCTGGTGCTCATGCAGCTGCCGGAGGTAACGCACGACTATGTCTCGCTGCAGACGGATGTGATGCACTATGACGACCAAATGGCCATTATCTATGTGAACGGAGTGCTGCACGACGGCTCCGATTTATTGCTGGCCTTCAGCCGGCAGTTTGTGCTCAAAGTGGATGCCACCGGGCTGGTAAGTTGCTCCTTAAACCAAGCTCTTGCCTGCTTGCTCATCGTTATTTATTTTTTAGGGCATTGGCAAAAAGGCGCGCAGCATGAAGATCATCAACGAGCGTTTCAATATCATGAATCCGTCGCCGAAGCAGCAGCGCGATGCCTTCAAGTTCGTTGAGCTGCCCATGGATCAGGAGCTGTCAATGCCAGAGGCGGAGGACACGGTGGATGTCAAGGAGCACAAGCTCTACATATTCCAGGAGATAACCGGACTGCGACCCAAATGGTGCACACGCATTGTGCAGGAAGAGGCCAACTGGGATTTCCAGCTGGCGCTCGAGCAGTTCCTGCGCATGGAGACGGCCAACGAGCTGCCGGACGACGCATTTCTCTAACTAACTAAAGTTTCCTTCTTTTATCAGCAGCGCAAATGACGCAGGCAAGCATCAAGTGCTTTGCCCTTATAAATTAACACTCGATTATGTCAATAATCAACGAATCGAACCAAAACCGATATCAACAATTACGCAGGCGAACAACAGTTTTTTTTTGTTTTGTGATTTCCCTGAGTGCCTGGCAAATCAATAGTTGTTGCTTATTTTCTTTTATAACTGTAACCAAAATAATCTCTGTGATTAATTGTAAAACAAGACTGAAATCTCAGTTCACAATTTGTATTTCCATTGTTTCCTTATCAGCTTAACATTATAACTAATTTATATACATACATATATATGGCACTAGTTGCTGCATTATCATTTCCAAGGCGCGCTCGTAACGGGCATTTAGGATCTGGGCATGTCGCGACATGTCCCTGTCAAAGCGCTTATCAGGCCACCTGCTGCTGCTGCTGCTGCTGCAGCTGACAGAGAGCACTGCGTCCGTTTGTCGCCTCTGCTATAAACTCTCGTGCGCTGCGCTCGTGCCTCAGTTTCGTTTTAGACGCGCGCGCGTGCGGTTCTGTTGTCTCCCATCGCCCGTTTGCCGTTTACCGTTTGTGCGAAACGGTTAAGCATTTCGTTAAGTTCAGCGAGCGGTTCTCTTGAGTGCAGGTCTGTGTGTGCTTTTTCTCTCTCTCTTTTAGCGTAGTTTTTGTGTCGCATTTAGAAAATACAATAATTAAAAATTCGCTTGGCGTTATGTGTTAATATGCACTTAAAAATTCACTGCAGCTACAACTCAATTGAATACCACATTTATTTATATAGTACTCATGTCTGTGCCTCAATTGTAAATGTAATTAAAAAAAAGAAAAAAAAAATGCTACTTTTTTTTATTTTTAAACAAAATTGCTGTTAGAAACCTGTTTGGCTTGTCGTTCATAAATAATCGTCTAATAAAAGTTATGTAATTAATATGTGACGTTTTAAACTCTCGTTTTGACACGACATTTGATTTGACCAGCAAAGTTAACAACAACAACAACATGAATAACAACTTTTCGAATATGTAACTTTTTTTCTGATGAGCTCAACAAAATTCCCGCCCGAATTCCCGGCTAATTTTCTTGTGAGCCACCTTTTTTGCATATGAATGAAATTAGCTGAAAACAGCTGAAATTTAATCAGTTTGGGAACATTTTGTTTCGTGTTTTGTTTTCTCAGCGTGTGACTGTGTGTGTACCCTTATTTTGGGTATCTTGATTATGTCATGGAGTATGTAACACATACGTTTTTTTGTATGTATGGAAAGTAGGAACAATCGGGAGAAATTTAAATACCCGCTTGAGAATCATTTTTGCTTATAGAGATATTTAAACTTAACTTGGAATTAGAAGTTGTACAGATATCGGAATTGGATATACATATATATTGGCCTACCTGCTATGGGAACAATTCTTTGGAAATAGAGTTTTTGTTTTAAATATTTAGAATATTGAAGTATAGCCAACAATTGCTAAAAGTCTGCAAAGGTATCTAACTTTCGGCGTTTTCTTCCCAGTTTCTTTGACCTCTTGTGATCTGAGCAGGTTTCTCTGGAAAGTTTTTTAGCCCAAGCCTAGGTTTGATCACAGTTTCAAGCAGACTGTGATTGACCTCCCCTCTTATTCCCAACACACCCCGCTGACTCAGTAAACTATTTTGGGCATAAACGCGCGCGTTTTGCATGCGTTTTAGAACGCGCACAATCAACATAATTAGCTGGCACTCAAATGAATTAACAAATTCATAAAAAACAGGCAACAAATCTCAAAAAAAATGTGCATGATACAATGTGGAACAATTAAACATTTGCTTGTGGCATATGGAATTAGATAAGTTAAGCGTAGAGTAAATAAATCGCGTTAACAAGACTGAGCCTAGGGCAAATATGTCCCCCCTCGCCCCCCTCTCAGTTGACTGTGTTCAGATTTATGACTTGCCACGACAGAGCAGCACGCGACTCCAACCCAAAGATTTAGATAGTCGGGCTCAACTAATTAAACACGCTCAGCTCTTAGGCTTGTGGCTCATTAAAGAAGTTAATGAATGCCAAAGACAATATCAAAGGTGTGAATCCCTGCGCAATACTCTGTTGACATTGTGATTAGCAATTAAAATAGTAAAAAGAAAATTTTTGAATAATACGTTGCTGACTCTAAAACTGTAATTCCAAAGCACTTCAAACTGTGAACAATACTTACGGCCAGAAAAGTTCGATCTTTAGGGAATATCTTCAGTAATTTACCTGCCTAATTTTGTGACTGTGGGAGAAATTTGTTTTACCGCCTCCATTAAGAGATATATGCTTAGAGGAACGCACCAATAGTCACCCTAAGAATGTAGAAGAAACATATATTCCCCCCTTTTCCACGACCCCAATGGACGTAGCTCTATAATTTAAACAGTTTGACCTAGATATATGGAAATATATATTCTAAGTCTCAGGTCCTTTGCTTCAAAAGCGCTCAGAAAATGCTGTTTAGGCGTATAGGGACCTAAGCCAATATACTCCTTTTACACTTTGTGAACAGAGTATATGTTAACGGCTCGACTTACAGCTAACTGATCGCGCTCCGCTTTTCGGCCAACTGCAAAACGAAAAATTGTTATCGTTAATTAAAAAAAAGTTAACAAAAAAAAAAAGCATTTGTTTAGGCGCTGGAAAACCGGTTTTAGATCGTTTTTCTCACTCAAGCTGTGAATAGTTTCCACATTTGTCAGGTTTTTCATTTTTATATTATTCAATACGCAGGCGTTTTTAATAAATTTGCTAAATTTGTCAAAAATTCGCCGTATGTTGATACTTTTTTTTTTGTAGATATTTATTTAGTTTTGGCCACGCTGCCAAATAGATTTTTGGCATTAGACGCTAGTGGCAGTATCTGCACTTAACCTTAGCCAAATGAGGAACCCCTCACCCCTTTCTCTTCCTTTTTTCTTTTTTTGGGGGAAAATACCGAAAATAGCGTTTGATGTCAAACATTTCCGCAGCGCTTTGGCTTCTTCTGCTTTTTAATGGCAATTACTTAATATGCTTTTCGAAAATATTCAAATATCAACATTCTACATAAAACACAAGCCCAGAGAGAGAGAGAGGGAGGGGTTCCCTCCACACCCCGCTCCCATCGCTTTTTATTTATAGGTTTTCCACGCACTCGCCTTTTGTTTTGGCACAAGTGAATTTCCAAGTTTTAGTCGAATTCCATTGTGTCTAAGAGAACTTTTCGAGAATTCCAAGCTTCACCCAAAATATGTGTGAGGAAATGTGCTCGACCCCCTCCCACCCCTCCCATCCCTCCCTTGGCTATCTAAGTATACCCCTAAGGTCAACACACATCATTTTAAGTGGAGGGTGAGAGAGGGAGGTCTTTCCCTTCTCTTGACTGCCTATCAGTAGTTATACAAAGACCTCTACAAGTGATAAATTAAAGATCAAACTGATCATTTGGGAAATGTCTGACATTTATGCGCCAGCTCTCTAATTTAAAATGCGCCAGACGCAATTCCCAATTACAATGGGTATCCCAAAGGTTCTCTCTCTTCCTATGTGTCTTGCATATTAACTAGAGACAACCAACAAATTCTCAGCTGCGTCTAGACATGATTTTTGGTATATCAGCAAAGACTTAGTGTATCGGATATTATATAATTCCTGACTTCCATATCCATGTCCATTTACAAGCGATTTTATATTGTGCAGCATTAATGCTAATTGGGCTCTTAAAAGTCTCTGCTGGTAGCCCCTTAAAATTTGCATATTTCCGCTAATTAATACACTCAGAGAAAAAGGGAAACTCGAAATTCTATAGGGAAATTCCTTCGACTTGCTACTTTTTCTACTATTTCAAGTACATTTCGTGCTAAAATTAACTAAAAAGAAGACAACAAATCAATAATGTCGTCATTAAATCAAGTGGAACCCGTCCAAAAAGTATGTTGGGGCTGATAATACTTGATTTATATGTGAACCAGTAAAATACTCAAAATAAACATTTTTAAGATTAGATCAAAATGCCTAAAATAAAAGCAAAACGTGGGAAATAAGAGCAAAACGTTTTTTTGGGAATTTTCCGCTTAAAAAAGTTCTTCATACAAACATGTTGTTCTTAGTTTAAGAATTTTATAACTTAATTAAAATTTTCCGAAATTCTATGCTACTTTCTCCGAGTGTATTTCATTGCACATATTTGCTGCTGCCTTTAGTTGCTATAACTAAAGCTATTGCCAGCCAACTGTCAAATTTGACAAGCAGTTGCACTTGCGCGTTTTAAATCGCCTACGAAACGCGCGCGAAACGCTCACGAAACGCCAGCCACTTGCGTGTCTATCAAATCTGAACTGCAAATACTTCAAGCACTTATCTTTCAGCGCTTTGCAGTGTTGCGCAATCTTTCAAAGTTGCAGCACACTTATTTTGATACTTATAGAGCACAGTTCAAAGATCTCTCTCTGCCCGGGAGAATATTTCTGGGGCAGGGTCGATCCATTTAGGCACGACTCTATATATTTTTCTGGGCTCATTTTTTTTTTTTTTGGGCAGCGGTCAGTTCCAGTTTCATTATGTTGTATGGAAAACAAAAAAGATCTGTATTTGATTTGTGTTACGCTCGAAAAGACACACACACACACACACACACACACACACACACACACACACACACACACACACACACACACACACACACACACACACACACACACACTCGAGAGCATTTTTGCAAAATTGCTGCAAACACATTTTCAGCGGAAAAGCAGCGAAAAATTAGTAAATGTCACGTTCGCATTAAAGAAAACACAAATAAATTCTTAATTCATAAATTAACGAGAAAAACAACTGCAAATATGATATTGAATAGAATTAAGTTGTTTATATAGAAGAGGAGAAAACAAAAAGAGTCGATAAACAATTGCCGAATATTAAAAAATCTTAAATTAATATTAATTAATATTAATTATATACATATTTTCCACGATTTCGATAATCAGTTATTAATTTAATCAGTAAATTAATTTACTTTTAACTGATTATCTTAATTGTGGAAGAAATTTTTATATTGCAAAAGAATTCTATTTTCGCCTTTAAAGTTAGGATTTTTGCTTTGTCTATATGGGCCTAGAAAGATTTAATATTGTTATTTTTTTTTTTTAATTTTATTTTGAGAGGATTTGAACCTTTTGAAAGAACTTTATAAAACCCGACTTCAGGTTTTAATAGGGAAGGTAATATTTGAAAGTGAAGCACGAGAAAACTCAAGCAGCTGAAGTAAAAAAAAACCTCTGCACCAAGTTTCACCAAAGAAAGGCTTGGGTAGTTCTTCAACTCTTCTTATCAAGTATATAGTATATATATACCTGTCGGGTTCGAAGATGTCTTCTACAATGCATTGTGTATACATTTCCAAGCTTCTCCAGGAAAGTCACAATTAGAGACCAGTTCACATAGAACCCAATCGTGCTTATCAGGAATATATATACCATATACCTTTCGGGCTGGAAGATGTGTTCTACAATATACATTCTGTATACTCTGTTATACCCAACAGCAAGAGTATATAGAATGTGCAATAAAACGATTCCAATGGCTATTTTAAAACAAATTAAAGCGACTTATGGATGTGACAAGGGGCTAGCTAGGGGCAGGTGTATGTGGTTTAGATTGTTAACTATAGCCATAAACAGAGACACAGATACACACACACACACACATACGAAGATCTCGAAGTGAGCTGAGCAGAAATGCGCGGCAGTCAATTTGGAATTTGAATTTCGCATTGAGAAAACAAAGGCGACGCATTCAATTGCATGAGAAAACCGATTAAACGAATGGGACCTTGAGGGGGGAAGGGGGGGGGAGGGTTGGATGTGCGAATATTACATTGGCAATTAGACATTAGTTCCTGACAACACCCCCCCCCCCCCCTCTCCACCCCCTCTCCACATTCATCTGTGCAACTAATGGATGCGACGCTCTTGAAACTAACCAAATTGCGTGCATCTCTTGGATCTAAGTTTTGTAAAAAGATTCTATTCAAAGATCTCGGGAGCTGCTGGCCTTGAGAATGGGGAAAATTGTTTTGGTTAAGCAGCCGCCTGTTGTGTTTAATTGAAAGTTGCCGCCGCACAAATGCGGCTGCACTTAGCCTGCCAGCCATAAACTGGAGACCTGCCCCCCGCCCACCCTCGCCTGGACCTGATCTTGCCCCTGCTCAGATGTGGCGCTACATGTTGCACAATTGCATTAAGCATCGATGCTGTAAAAGTTGTAAACAAAGCGCTGTCAGTTGGCAGAAGGCACAACCAGCAGATGTTTCCTCTGCTCTAAATACTCTGTAAATTGAATCTATGCAAAGGGTAACTTGAAATCTAGATCTATATCTAACTTTCAGAAGAAAATGTTTGTGAGCCTGATAGAAAGAAACTAAATTAAGCTTATATCTATATTTATTTTACTGTTAATTTGTGTAACTATATATATCACCTATATATGTATTACTATGCGAAAGCTTCTCCTCCTATTTTAATACCCTGAACCCATTAAAAATGGGTAAAAAGGGTATAATGTTTTTGTGCAAATGTATGTAACAGGCAGAAGGAAGCATCTCCGACCTCAATAAGTATATATATTCTTGATCAGCATCAACAGCCGAGTCGATTTGGCCATGTCCGTCCGTCTGTCCGTATGTATGAACGCACGGATCTCGGAACCTATAAGAGCTACAGACTTGAAATTTTAGGTGTAGGTCCTCCTAGTGCCCGCGCAGATCGAGTTTGTTTCCGATATTCGATAACTTGCCCCGTTTCCAAGTAATCGATAAAAATCGATTTTGGCAATTTTGCTAAATAATATGAGCTAGAATCACCAAACTTGACATGTAGCTTCTAGAATAGTATATATATATCAAGTATCTTTCATTTTATACCTATCGCCTGTCGGAAGAAGAGGGTTCAGGGTATCCCCTAGTCGGGAGCTCCCGACCACAACCTCTTACTTGTTTTGGTTTTTGGTTTTTTTCCTCTGTTTCTGCCAGATCTTCGAGCCTTAAGAAAGTTTTCTCAAATTTGTATATTTTCCATTTGTGGCTGCAACAACATTTACAAACATTTTGTTGTCTTTTTTTTATGGTTGTTGTGCCGTATATTTTGATTGGCATCGATTTATTTACTTTTGCATTGTGGAACCAAAATGCATATCACAGAATCAGAAATGGAATACATATGTATTTTTAAATTTATGATGTTTATTTAACTAGTTGAAAGACCTTACCAAAAATGTAAGAAAACATATAAAAATAGTGTCGATAATGTGGCACAGTTTGGGTAAAGTCTGAGATCCAAATATAGAATACTACGAAGGAGAGGTAATACATCTATTTAGTCTCAGGCTTTGGGTACTTTGTGTTATAGAGTGGGATATAGTTCGTAATCAGACGCCAGTCGGTGAAGTAGATCAGAGCCAAAACGCCGGCCATGCCAAAATAGCCAGCCGAGGGTATGCTGTGGGCGTGGCAAAAGACCATTAACTATATTAATGAGTTTTGGATAATTTGCTTAAGGTACTCACAAAGCTTTGGCCATCTCCTGTTGGCCCTTGGTCGGCTTGATCGTACATAAGAATTTCTTGACATGATCCATGGCTTGAATAATAATTGATAATTCGTAAGTCGTTAAAAATTCCAAGTTGAATAGACTGTAAAACAGTTTGTCAAAGTAAACGAACGAATTTTGAATCTAAGTTTATATACCCTGTACTTTGAAAATAGTTAGAAAGGGTACTATGTTTTTATGCAAATGTATATAATATTTAAAACAAATGCATCTGCTTGTACTAAGTTGAGTTGATTGAGCCCTGTCCATTTGCCCATTTCTCTGCCCTATAAGAAAAAATCCAGACTATACTTTTTCCTGGCTGACTTTCCCAGCTCTCCACAAAATTGAATATATATATTTCGACTAGAGCATTGTGCTTTGATATATGCATATATTTTGGTGCTAAATTTAACACTCCAAATTTTCATAAAGATCGGACAATAAGAACCGAAGTTATTCAAGCATGCTTTATTCAAAGTGTGTTACAAAGGGAAGGAAGTTCGAGTCTCATCAATCGCGGATCGACCCTGGTTTGAAGGTATCTTCTAGTCGGGCATTCCAGACTAGACAATTTGACGTGTTTCCTCCAAGTCTGTCAATTAACTCAGCCATTGTGTCACCATCAAGACAGAAGGTCTATGCGTGAGGGGTTTAGAGGGGGATTCCACATTGAGAATAAATCAATTTGGATGCGGGTTGTTGGCTAGGCCCCTGGCAAATGGGTCGTGTAAACAGCGCTACAAATTGAAACATTACATGTTTTTTTTATGACAAACCCAACTTGTTGGGATGGCTTGTCCCACGATGGGGCTGGGCGGGGTGGTGTGTTGGCAGTTATGATGACTAAGGGCAGGTGGCAATGGAAAACTGCATCAATTTGTCAGCCGCAAAATCATTAGCCTAATTTCCAGCTGGTGTATGTGTGTGTGTGCATGTGTGTGAGTGTGTGTGTGAGCTGGCATTTTCTTTGACTAAAATTCCGTCGTGGGCCCTGCCCTTATTGTCTTGACTCAACTCCTTGGCAGACGCGCGAGCAGAACAATTTAAATGCCACACCTTTTGACCTGCTCCCATCCGACCAAGTCAGCTGTCTCTGACCTGAACAGTGTCCACATATGACAGCCGGGCGACAGTTCAAGGATATCGACAAAAGGCTGGGCCGCTTAAATTTTATGCTCTTTATTCCTATCCTCCTTTTCCCAATTGCAGTCATGCGTTTGTTGCTGTTGCTGTTGACGGCCCTTCTGGCTCTCCTGGCCCAGGTCCGTGGCCAGCAGGACTATTGCTTTGGCAAGGACACGGAGCGACTGCAGACGCGTCAGTTTAGCTCGAAGACAGCCTATCAGATTGTCAAGGGCACCAACATGGACAAGCAATATCAGGTGCCCGGCTGTGAGCCCAACAAGATGTGGATCTTCCACAGGCACGGCACGCGGCTGCCCACGCCGAGCACCATTGAGGCGGCACCGCGACTGGAAGAGGTCGGTTAACCCCGGGTACCCCTGACCCAACACCTTTTTTATTTACTCCGCCTCGTGATCTTTGCAGCTACGCGATTTGATAGTGAATAATTATCGGGTGAGGCGCACCAAGCCGGAGACTGATGCCTTGTGCGACACGGATCTGACCGCCATCCAGATGTGGAAATGGAATACCAGCATTACGGTCGACATTGAGGAGTATCTGACCAGCCAGGGCTACGAGGATCTGCGCGGCACTGCCAAGGTCTACCAGCACTACTTTCCCACGGTGCTGCCCACCACATTCAACGACACCTACTACCTGGTAAGAAAGAGGTTGTGCACCCAAAACCAGCTGAAACTTTCTTAATCTGAATTTATTTCAAGAACTTTTTGTACCCTGAACCCATTGGAAATGGGTGAAAAGGGTATTATGTATTTGTGCAAATGTATGTAACAGGCAGAAGGAAGCATCTCTATTCTTGATCAGCATCAACAGCCGAGTCGATCTAGCCATGTCCGCCCGTCCGTCCGTATGTATGAACGCCAGGATCTCAGAACCTATAAGAGCTAGAGACTTGACATTTTAGGTGTAGGTCCTCCTAGTGCCCGCGCAGATTGAGTTTGTTTCCGATAATCGATAACTTGCCCCGTTTCCAAGTAATCGATAAATATCGATTTTGGTAATTTTGGTGAATAATATGAGCTAGAGTTACCAAACTTGACATGTAGCTTCTAGAATAGTATATATATATCAAGTATCTTTTATTTTATACCTATCGCCTGTTGGAAGAAGAGGGTTCAGGGTATCCCCTAGTCGGGAGCTCCCGACTAGAACCTCTTACTTGTTGTTAATACATTTAGGAATATTAATATTGTAGTTCTTCCAGTTCCTTCTAAAGTTGTTCTCCCCGTTTTCAGTTCCGTCACACGGATACTCAACGTACCACGGAGAGTTTCAAGGGCTTTGCCGAGGGTCTCTTTGGTGACAGCAGTGTGGCCACTGCAGCGGATATTCCCGAGAAGGATCTGCTGCTGCGTCCCTACGATTACTGCACGGATTTCAAAGACAAGAACTACAAGGGCGTGGGCTCCGAGTATCAGAAATATTGCACAAGCGCCATATGGAATAATACTATGGAGGATATTACACGCAGACTTGGGTAAGTTTCCAATTCGCAGTTCCTGCTGTTGGCCAAGTTGAAACTAAGTTTACTCCTTCTGCAGCTTCACAGTTCTGGCCGAGGACGATATCAAGCTGATGTTTGATATTTGTCGCTACGAGCAGGCCTGGCAGGTGGATCGGACGAGCGTCTGGTGCGGCGCCTTTTTGCCCGAGCACGTGACCGTCATGGAATACGCCGAGGATCTGAAATACTACTACGAATCCGGCTATGGCTTCGAGGAGAACACGCGCTTCAATTGCCGCGCCGTCCAGGATATGCTTACCCGTCTCAGCAGTCCCGTCTCTCCCCACGTCGTCGCCTATTTTGCCCACTCGACGGGTCTGCAGACTCTGCTCACAGCGCTGGGCATCAACAAGGATGACATCGCACTGCGTGCGGATAACTACGACTCGATGACAAGTCGTCGCTGGAAGACCAGTCTGCTGGGTCCCTTTGCGGGCAATTTCGTGGCCGTGAAATACAATTGCCCCGCGGAGCTGGAGCCGGAGAAGGTCGTCTTCTTTCTCAATCAGAATGCCGTCGATCTGGACTGGTGCAATGTGGGTCTGTGCAACTGGTCGGATGTCCTGCAGAAGTACAAAACCATCTCGGAGGCCAACTGTGATGAGTATTATTGCCGCTCTGCCGCATCTTCTGGACGTGCCTCAATTCTGGTCACCGCTTTTATTGCCGCATTTGTCTACTTGATGCATTAGATCTGAAATAGATTCGACTTAAATAGCGCAGGGATCTGGTTTAGTTTCTAATTAGGCTATCTTCAAAGTTCGCACCAAAAACAAAAATAGTCAATTAAATTAATCGAGTATTTTCGTATTTTTCAATAAATGTACATTTTCTACTTTTAACGAGCACACTTTACACTGAAATTAAATAAAACAAATACACACACACACACACACATACAAAAACAAACACAATTAGCTTTTTCCAATTAATTATTAAGCTCTGCTTGTGATAAATGAATAGATAGATGAAAAATAAATAGCTTTATAAATTATTTAATTGAATTATTCTTTGAAAATTGGGAAGATTCTTTGCAGAACTTATCTCCGAACCCATAAAGTGGTTCGATCCGAGCAATATAAATAGCTCTATATATATATATCATATCATATATCATCAGTATGATATATGTTTCTATGCTTATCATTTCCAGTTTTAGAGCTATCTCAATGAAATTTATTAATATTATATTTCTTGAAGATAGTATAGGCAAATATATTATATTTGGTCGGATCAGACCCCTGATTCATATAGATCCCATGTAAATGAGATTTGGACTAAAGGGCCCCTCGTCTGAAAATCTTGTTTGTCTTTCAACATACTTGAAACATCTTCAACAATTACAAATAAGCTTTGCTTTGTATGTATTTGGAAGACCCTTTTAACATGGGACTACAATATAATATAGCTCTTATAGGAACAATCGGTCAAAAATGAGAACTTGTGAGAGTTGTATGCATTTTAGTAAAATGAACCCCCTATATTCATTAGGGGTACTCCTTATAATTCCTTTTAATACGTAAGAACTGCAAATAAATCAAAAGCCCGCGAGCATTGTGGATCGTATAAGCGGGTAACTAATTTACATCACGATTGAGCGCGATTAGATCTCTCAGTCGTATTGCTCACTCTCTCTCTCTCTCTCTTTCGTTCGCTCTCTCTTTATGTGGTCACACTGCTTGCTGCTTGCTGCTCGCGCTCGCGCTCACGCGTCGCTTTGCTATAAACGCTCGTGCGTTGCGCTCGTCGCCTCAGTTTCGTTTTAGACGCGTTCGCGTGCGGTTCTGTTGTCTCGCGTCGCCCGTTTGCCGTTTACCGTTTGTCGTTTACCGTTTGTGCGAATCGGTTAAGAAATTTATAAAACCCATCGAGCGCATCTCTCGAGTGCATTTCAAATATTCAGATAGGTCTGTGTGGGTTTTTCGCTCTCTTGGCGTCATTTTAATGTCGCATTTATAAAATCTTTTCATCTACCGCTCAGCGTTAAAATTGGCTGCAGCTACAACTTAATTGGACACAAAAATTTTTTATTTAGCACTCATTTGTTTCATTGTCTATACAATGTCGGGCTGTTACCTCAATAGTAAACGTAATTAACAAAAGAAAAAACTATTGTTGATTCTTAAACAAAAAATATGGAAACCTGTTTTGGTTGCCGCTTATTAATAATCGTCTCATATAAATATCTGTTATGCAATAAACCCGAGACGCCTTCGAGTCTCGTATTGACACGACATTTGATTTGTCCAGCAAAAGTTAACAACAACTTTTTTTTCTGATGAGCTCAACAAAATGCCCGCCTAATTTTCTTGTGAGCCACCTTTTTTTGCATATGAATGAAAACAGCTGAAATTTGATGGGGCTACATTAATCAGTTTGGGAACATTTTTCGTTTCGTTTCGTGTTTTGCTTCTTCTTGTTTCTGCCCTTATTAAGGGTACCTTAACTATGTCATGGCGTCTGTAATGCATAGGAACAATCGGGACAAAATTAGATACTCAAACATAACAAGCTTTACTGTACTCTCAGCAGATATCGGAATGGCATAGATATTCTCCCAGCTCCTACGGAAAATGGAGTTTTTATACAAAACATTTTGAATATTGAAGTATAGCTCACAATCTCTATAGGTCTGCAAAGGTATCTAACTTTCGGCGTTTTCTTCCTAGTTTCTTTGACCTCTTGTGATCTGAGCAGGTTTCTCTGGAAAGTTTTTCAGCCCAAGTTTAGGTTTTGTGATCTTTGTTTCAGGCAGACAATTAGGCCCAGAATTGTTTATGGTTCATGTTGACGTAACATGGTAAATGCCAGCTGACAGCTGCTTGTGGCACCTCAAACCCCCGCCCCCCCCTCCCCTTATACCCCTCACACCACGCTTTCTATATTAACTATCTTGGGCAATCTCTCATGCGAATAAACTCGCGCGTTTTGCATGCGTTTTAGAACGCGCACAATCAAAATAATTAGCTGGCACTCAAATGAATTAACAAATTCACAAAAAATGGCAACAAATCTCAGACAAAAGCGGAAAAAAATGTACATGATATAATGTGGAACAATTAAATATTTGCTTGTGTTGTATGGAATTAGATAAGTTAAGCGTAGAGTAAATAAATCGCGTTAACGAGACTGAGCCTAGGGCAAATCTGTCCCCCCTCGTCCCCCTCTCAGTTGACTGTGTTCAGATTTATGACTTGCCACGAGGCAGTGCAGCACGCGACTCCAACCCAAAGATTTAGATAGTCGGGCTCAACTAATTAAACACGCTCAGCTCTTAGGCTTGTGGCTCATTAAACAAGTTAGTACCAAAGAAATATCTTCAGTTGGGCGACAACGACTCGCAATACTCTGTTTATAGTGTGCTTACAGATTAATATTTAAAATTTAATCTTATGGTCAAAAGCTGTCTTTGACAATAGTCATGGATTTATAACTCAAGACTGTAATTTGCCAAGCTGATACTTAAAAAAAGAGAAAAATTTAAGTTTTTTTGGGCGCGGCCCGAAAAGCTTTGCCTTAATCATTAGAGAAGACCAACAGCAAACTATTTGCTGACTGTGTGAGAAAAATATATTTTAATGATTTTGTGCGTCTTCGTTCTAGAAGAATTATGTGTTACTTGCCCTTTTTGCCACGCCCCTATTGGAGGTAGCCCTATAAATTAAACAGGTTGTCTGACGTGGATTTATGGTATTAAATATTCCAAGTCTCAAGTCTCTAGCCTTAAACTAGGCCCTAAGCCCACATACAACTTTTCCCCTATGTGAACAGAGCATAAAAAACAAACTCCACAAGAATGTCACACAACACATTTGGCTGTGTGTGTGTGTGTGTGTGCGTGTGTTTGTTGTTAACGCTTCGAGTGCCAGCTACCTGATCGCGTTCCGCTTTCGGGCCAACAAGCAACTGCAACATGAAAATTGGTTTACGAAATTGAAAAAAAAAATAACAAACACTTGTGTGGGCGCTGGAAAACCGGTTGGCATACGTTTTTCTCACCCTCACTTAAACTGTGAACAGTTTCCATAGTTTTCACATTTGTCAGGTTTTTCATTCAATACGCAGGCGTTTTTCATAAATTTGCAAAATTTGTCAAAATTTGACTTTTAATATACTTTTTTTTTGTAGATATTTATTTAGTTTTGGCCACGCTGCCAAATAGATTTTTGGCAATAGACGCTAGTGGCAGTATCTGCACTTAACCTTAGCCAAATGAGGAACCCCTCACCCCTTTCTCTTCCTTTTTTCTTTTTTTGGGGGAAAATGCCGAAAATAGCGTTTGATGTCAAACATTTCCGCAGCGCTTTGGCTTCTTCTGCTTTTTAATGGGAATTACTTAATATGCTTTTCGAAAATATTCAAATATCAACATTCTACATAAAACACAAGCCCAGACGTGCCCAAATCGGATAGAGAGAGAGGGAGGGAGGGAGGGGTTCCCTCCACACCCCGCTCCCATCGCTTTTTATTTGTAGGTTTTCCACGCACTCGCCTTTTGTTTTGGCACAAGTGAATTTCCAAGTTTTAGTCGAATTCCGTTGTGTCTAAGAGAACTTTTCGAGAATTCCAAGCGGCACCCAAAATATGTGTGAGGAAATGTGCTCGACCCCCTCCCACCCCTCCCACCCCTCCCTTGGCTATCTAAGTATACCCCTAAGGTCAACACACATCATTTTAAGTGGAGGGAGAGAGAAAGCGAGCTCTATTGGCTATCAGTATTAATACAGAGACCTCTCTCTAAAAGTGATAAATTAAGTGTCTAATGCCACAGACCGAAGATCAAACTGATCATTTGGGAAATGTCTGACATTTATGCGCCAGCTCTCTAATTTAAAATGCGCCAGACGCGATTCCCAATTACAATGGGTATCCCAAAGGTTCTCTCTCTTCCTATGTGTCTTGCATATTAACTAGCGACAATCATCAAATTCTCAGCTGCGTCTAGACATGATTTTTGGTACCGAGGAAAGACTCTTCCGGCCGCGTATATCGTTTATTATATAATTCCTGACTATATATATGCGTGGTTATATCTATAAATGTTTACAAGCGATTTTATCTTGTGCATCATTTATGCTAATTGGGCTCTTAAAAGTCTCTGCTAGTAGCCCCTAAAATTTGCATATTTCCGCTAATTAATACACTCAGAGAAAAGACACATTCTACATTCTAGTCTTCTTTGGTTTTCCACATAACATTTCACGTACATTTCCTGCTTAAATATTCGCAAAAGTTTTCTCTCTCAATTAAATTGAGAAAATATCAAGAAAAAGAAGGATAAACTGCTAAAAACTTAATAAATAAAAGAATGTACATCGAAATAAGCGCGAAACATTCTCAATTTAAGTACAAAATATCTTAGATTGAGCACTTGTATTTTGTAAAAGTTCTTGTACTGAAACTTAGGTTTCTGGCTTAGGTTATTTCGAACATAATTTCGAACATAATAAATGATAGTACTTTTTCGCCCAGTGTAGTGCATTGCACTCAGCTACAAGTAGTTAACTTTGGCTAACTGTCAAATTTGACAAGCAGTTGCAAATTAAAGAGCGATTTTCGCTTTAAGTCCACCTTTCCATCTTTCAGCGCTTTTGCAGTGTTGGGTAACCTTTGAAAATTGCAGAACACAGTTCAACGATCTCTCGCTAGAGCCTATTTCTTGGGCAGGGGCAATCTGTGCGGCCATAACAAATCAATTAAATTATGATTGGGCCCCATTTTTGTTCCATTATGATGTATGCTAAATCTCTGGCAGCTGGAAAATAAAAAAAAAAAAGATCTGTATTTGATTTATGTTCCGCTCGAAAAGAGCCGTACACAGGGAAAAGCGGCACGAGGGCATTTTCAGCAAAATTGTTGCAAACATATTTTGAAAGGGAAATCAACGAAAAATTAGTAAATGTCACGTTCGCATTAAAGAAAACATAAATAAATTCATAAATCAAAGCGGAAAAACAAACAGCAAATATGAAAAGCGCGAATTAAGTTGTTTATATAACTAAAAGAAAACAGAATTCTCTTCCATTCTCGAATATAAAATACTCTTCAAGTTATAAGGAAGATAATACCAAATAGTAAATTGATATAGAAATTGTCCGAAATCGCGCCTAGCAAGACAAATTTCATCTGTCGATTTTCCTATAGTTATGTACTGAATAATATATCTGTATAAAAATCGAATCGGAGACTTGGAAAAAATTTCTTCTACCTCTGACTTCCATACTTTCCCGATATGACTTTTGATCGATAGGTATCATTTTGAAGAAAAACTCGGGCAAAGCCGGGTTATAACAGGTAGAAAAAAAAACGTATTAATTTTATTGATCCCATTTCCATGATATTAATTAATTAATTTGCTCATAAAATGTTAAAAGCAAACAAATTGTTCACTTTTGAACCCAACTTTGGATCGTTCATTCCTATGATATCTATATATATGTATTCTGGTCAAATGTTTCCTCTGCCATAGAAGATTATAAACGACTCTAGCCAGAAAAAAGATCTATGCCAAGTTTCACCAAGAAAGTCACAAGCAGAGTCAAGTTCACAGAGAACCCAACTTTTCCTCTCCGGAATTTATATATCTTTCGGGCTCGAAGATGTCTTCTACAATACATTGTCTATAGTTTATAATGTCCACGGCGAGAGTATATAGTAATAAAACGCTTCCAATGGCTATTTTAAAACACATAAATGCGGTTAATAGACGTGACAAGGGGCTAGCTAGGGGCAGGTGTATGTGGTTTAGATTGTTAACTATACCCATAAACAGATACACAGATACACACCCACACACACACATACACATACGAAGATCTCGAAGTGAGCTGAGCAAAAATGCGCGGCAGTCAATTTGGAATTTTAATTTCGCATTGAGAAAACAAAGGCGACGCATTCAATTGCATGAGAAAACCGATTAAACGAATGGGACCTTGAGGGGGGGGGGGGGGTAGATGGGGAGGGTTAGATGTGCGAATATTACATTGCCAATTAGACATTAGTTCCTGACAACACCCCCCCCCCCCCCTCTCCAACCCCTCTCCACATTCATCTGTGCAACTAATGGATGCGACGCTCTTGAAACTAACCAAATTGCGTGGATCTCGTGGATCTAAGTTTTGTAAAAAGATTCTATTCAAAGATCTCGGGAGCTGCTGGCCTTGAGAATGACGGAAAATTGTTTGGGTTAAGCAGCCGCCTGTTGCGGCTCGTTGTTTGTGTTTGTGTTTAATTGAAAATTGAAAATCGCCGCAGCTATTTGCGGCTGCCCGCGCACTTAGCAGCAGCACCTCCCCCCACCTCCCCCCCCCTGCTGCCCACGCTTTAGGCCCTGCTCTGACGTCATGGATGTAGCTTGTTGCACAATTGACATATATCTGCTTTTGTTACCCTATTACATCTGCGACCTCTAAGATATTCGACTAAAAGTTGTCTATTATCTATTTTTGGCTGCTTTATTTGTTGTTGCTTTTTCTCAGCTGTTGTGTATTTTGATTGGCATTAATTTATTTACTTTTGCATTGTGGAACCAAAATGCATATCACAGAATCAGAAATGGAATATATATATATATATTTAATTTTAGGCTGTTTATTTACAACTAGTTGAAAGACCTTCCCAAAAATGTGAGAAAACATATAAAAATAGTGTGGATAATGTGGCACAGTTTGGGTAGAGTCTGAGATCCAAATATAGAATACAACGAAGGAGAGGTAATACATCTATTTGGTCTCGGGCTTTGGGTACTTTGTGTTATAGAGCGGGATATAGTTCGTAATCAGACGCCAGTCGGTGAAGTAGATCAGAGCCAAAACGCCGGCCATGCCAAAATAGCCAGCCGAGGGTATGCTGTGGGCGTGGCAAAAGACCATTAACTATATTAATGAGTTTTTGATAATTTGCTTGAGGTACTCACAAAGCTTTGGCCATCTCCTGTTGGCCTTTGGTCGGCTTGATCGTACATAAGAATTTCTTGACATGATCCATGGCTTGAATAATAATTGATAATTCGTAAGTCGTTAAAAATTCCGAGTTGAATAGACTGTAAAACAGTTTGTCAAAGTAAAGGCCTGCTATACGAATGAATTTTGAATAAAAAGCTTGTATACCCTGTAAATATGTAAAAAGGGTATTATGGTTTAATGAATATGTATGTAATAGGTAAAGGATGAATTTGTAGCCCATAAATTATATATATATTTTTGATCGGATAGAAGAGAAGAGTCGATTTAGCCATGTCCACTTGTCCGTCCAGTTTAATGTCGAAATCTTCAATAATATACCTTACGCTTATCATATATCATACGCAGAAGTAGTCCACCATATTTTTTCTCTCCCCATATCTACCCATCTTTATCCATAAATAAAGATTTTGGAACTTGTCTTATCACAATTATAATAGACAATTAGATAAACCAAACTTGATATGGAAGCTGTCAAGTAGGGCACACTTAATAAGTAACAAGAATATTTAATATATATTAAATATTACTTATTATTTATCGTTAATATTATCTTTAATATTTAATATTACTTATTTTATCTTGGATTCCTTCTCCGATTCCAAAAATTTTCAAAATATAATTAAACTAGAGCTATAAATGCTATAGATTTTTGTAGATATGTTCGAATTTCTGTAAGAGCACGTTGAGGGTATCTTCTAGTCGAGCTTTCCCGACTACAAACTTGTTCTTGTTTCCTCCAAGTCTGTCAATTAACTCAGCCATTGTGTCATCATAAACAGACCCGTCTACGTTTAAGGGGTTTAGAGGGGGATTCCACATTGAGAATAAATCAATTTGGATGCGGGCCCCTAGCTAGGCACCCGATAAATGGGTCGTGTAAACAGACCCACAAATTGAAACATTACATGGCCTTTTTTATGACAAACCCAACTTGACCCATACCATGACGAGGCTGGGATGGGGTGGGATGGGATGGTGGCAGTTATGATGACTAAGGGCAGGTGGCAATGGAAAACTGCACCAATTTGCCAGTCGCAAAATCATTAGCCTAATTTCCAGCTGGTGTGTGTGTATGTGTGTGTGTGTGTGCGTGTGTGAGCTGGCATTTTCTTTGGCTAAAATTCCGTTGGAATCTCTCTCAACTGGGCAACGTCGTGGGCCCTGCCCTTATTGTCTTGACTCAACTCCTTGGCAGAACAATTTAAATGCCACACCTTTTGACCCCATGTCACCGCCTCCCCCCGACCCTAAGTCAGCTGTCTCTGACCTGAACAGTGTCCACATATGACAGCCGGGCGACAGTTCAAGGATATCGACAAAAGGCTGGGCCATTTAAATTTCATGCTCTTTATTCCTATACTTCTATTCCCAGTTGCAGTCATGCGTCTGCTGCTGTTGCTGTTGACGGCCCTTCTGGCTCTCCTGGCCCAGGTCCGTGCCCAGCAGGACTATTGCTTTGGCAAGGACACGGAGCGACTGCAGACGCGTCAGTTTAGCTCCAAGACAGCCTATCAGATTGTCAAGGGCACCAACATGGACAAGCAATATCAGGTGCCCGGCTGTGAGCCCAAGAAGATGTGGATCTTCCACAGGCACGGCACGAAGCTGCCCTCAAAAAGCTTCATCAAGGAGGCATCGCGGTTGGATGATGTCGGTTAAACCTTTGGTTCCCCAATTTAACACGGCTTTAATATCCTCTCGTTCGATCCTTGCAGCTACGCGATTTGATTGTGAAGAATTATCGCGTGCTGCATACCAAGCCGGATACGAACGCCTTGTGCCCAGGTGATCTGATCGCCATCCAGATGTGGAAATGGAATACCAGCATTACCGTCGACAAGGACGAGCACCTGACCAGCCAGGGCTACGAGGACATGCGCGGCACTGCCAAACTCTATCAGCACTACTTTCCCACGGTGCTGCCAAACAGATACAACGACTCCTATTACCTGGTAAGATTTGCCGGATACGCTTAGCCGTAATGTCCAGAATTGGGCATTACCTAAGAAGGGTTACGTACTTCCAAAACTTTTTATACCCTTGCAGAGGGTAAGGGTTTCACGTTTGTCATGAAATGTGTAACGCATAGAAGGAGACATTTGCGACCCCATAAAGTCTATATGTTCTTGATCAGTATCAGTATACCGAGTCGAGATATATCCATGTCCGTCTGTCCGTCTTGCTGTTTCTATGTTAACTAGTTTTAAAGCTATCTTTATGAAACTTTGCAGGAGTGCTTCTTTCTGTTGCATGCAGTTCATATGTCGGAACCAGCTGGATCGGACCACTATAACATATAGCTGCCATAGGAATGATCGGTCGTAAAGTAGGTTCTTACATGGAAAACTTTTTTGTTTATTAAGATATCTTGACCAAACTCGGCATTTATTAGTTTTACTGTGCTCCCCATATGTTTGCAAAATCCTATCAACATCGGACCACTATATCATATAGCTGACATAGGAACGATCGGTCGAAAAGTAGGTTCTTACATGGAAAACTTTTTTGTTTTTCAAGATATCTTGACCAATCTCGGCATTTATTACTTTTACTATGTTCCTCATATGTTTGCGAAATCCTATCAACATCGGACTACTACATCATATAGTTGCCATAGGAACGATCGGTCGAAATTTAAGTTGTTGTATGGAAAACTTTTTTTTTTTCAAGATATCTTGACCAAATTTGCCATTTATAAGTTTCACTATGTTCCCTACATTTATGCAAAATCTTATTTACATCGGACCACTATATCATATAGCTGCAATAGAACGATCGGTCGAAAACTAGGTTCTTGCATGGAAGACTTTTTTGTTTTTCAAGATATCTTGACCATACTCGGCATTTATTAGTTTTACTATGCTTCTCATATATACTCAAAATCCTATTAAGATCGGACCACTATATCATATAGCTGCAATAGGAACGATCGGTCAAAAATTAGTTGTTGTATGGAAAACTTTTTTGTTTTTCAAGATATCTTGACCATACTCGGCATTAACTATTTTCCCAGTGCTTCTTAGATACGAACAAACCACTATGAACATTATAAAAAGGTTGGGTCTGAAGGGTATTAAATCTTCGGCGTGCCGAAGATAGCCCTTCTGTCAGCTCCTTCTAAAGTTGTTCTCTCCGTTTTCAGTTCCGTCACACGGACACCCAGCGTACCACGGAGAGCTTCAAGGGTTTTGCTCAGGGTCTTTTTGGTGGCAGCAATGTGGCCACTGCAGCGGATATTCCCGAGAAGGATCTGCTGCTGCGTCCCTACGATTACTGTTCGTTCTATAAGACCAAAAACTACAAGGGCCCGGGTTCTGAGCATAAGAAATATCGCACAAGCGCCTTATGGAATCAGACCATGGAGGATATTGCACGTCGTTTAGGGTTAGTATCCGCAGCTGCTGCTGTTGTCCAAGTTGAAACTAACCTTTCTGCTCCAACAGTTTCAGAGTTTTGGCCGAGGATGATATCAAGCTGATGTACGATATGTGCCGCTACGAGCAGGCCTGGCAGGTGGATCGGACGAGCGTCTGGTGCGGCGCCTTCTTGCCCGAACATGTCACTGTCCTGGAATATGCTGACGAGCTCAAATACTACTACGGCTCGGGCTACGGCTTTGACGAGAACAGACGCTTCAATTGCCGCGCCGTCCAGGACATGCTGTCCCGCCTGAGCAGTCCCGTCTCTCCCCACGTCGTGGCCTATTTTGGGCACTCGGCGGGTCTGCAGACGCTCCTCGTTGCGCTGGGCATCAACGAGGACAAAGCCAAGCTGCGTGCGGATAACTTTAACGCGAATCGTCGCTGGAAGACCAGTTTGTTGGGTCCCTTTGCTGCCAACTTTGTGGCCGTGAAATATAGCTGCCCGGCGGAGTTGGACCCGGAGAAGGTCGTCTTCTTTCTCAATCAGAATGCCGTCGATCTGGACTGGTGCAATGTGGGTCTGTGCAACTGGTCGGATGTCCTGCAGAAGTACAAAACCATCTCGGAGGCCAACTGTGATGAGTATTATTGTCCGACTGGAGGGGCAGCCGGTCGTGCCTCAATGCTGGCCACCGCGTTGATTGCTGCCATTGTCTACTTAATACATTAGATTTGGCTTAGATCTGGCCAGTATCCGGCGTAGATCTGGCAGGTATCTGGTAAGGAACAGGCTTAGTTCTGTCTGCCCTTCATCTGGCAGGGATCTGGCTTAAACCTGCCCAAGATCTGGCAAGGTCCTAGCGTAAATCTGGCAACGATCTGGCATAGTTTAGTTTCTAATTTCTAATGTACAAAGTTCGTACCAAAAAAAAAAATTCAAAAGAGCGACAGAACATCGCGAGGAGCTCGCTTTAAGGTGCGCTGGAGGCATTAAAGTATTTTTTCAATAAATGTAAATTTTCTACTTTTAACGAGCACATCCTACACAGCAATTAGAAGAGAAACAACACACACAAATAAATAGCTTTTAATTAATCATTAAACTCTGCTTGTGGCAACTAAATACAAAGTTAACAATTAAATAGCTTTATAAACTACGTAATTAAATGATTCTAAGAAAATTCGGAATTGTCTTTGCAGAGGCTATTGTAGATCTACGAACAAATTAAGGTTTTTATTTATTTATATTTGAACTACTTTATCATATAACTCCCTTTGAAACAATCGATAAAAATGTAGTTATTGTGAATGTTGGCTACATTTTGCTCGATTGCACAGATCACCATACTATCCTTCTATATAGAGTAATTAAATGAGAGCGGACATGTTGTGAGCATGAGAGAATCCGTTATAAATTTGGAGTGCAGCAGCAACAAAAACTGCAAGCATTGTTGAGCCTATGACCGGGAGAGGCACTTTACATGGCAGCGCCTTCACGCCATTGGTCGAAACGCCTTTGATCCCGTTGTCTGAGAAGTGAGCATCAAGAATAATGTGAGAGTGCAGGCTGTGGGCTCATTTTTGTTAGTGTGTTAGTGTGCATGCCGGCTTAAACTTCAAGCTGCAATTTAGTCTGTGCGTAACTTTTCTGTCGATCGGTCGCGTAATCTGCGCACATGCTTAAAATCGTAATTAAACAAAGTTGTAGTTCCTTAAATAGTGTTCAATGTGATTAGTTTGTGCCGTGTGTGTTTGTTATTTGCAATATCAGTTACTTAACAAACTCCGCTTACTTTCCAACCGGTGAAATGAGCGTCGTTTAATATTTGCCGCAGAGCTTTTTCACATAAAACAAATTGGCGCGCATTGTAACATAATCCACATGCAGAAAGAGAGCAAAAGGGAAGAAAAGAGTATTATGAGCCCCTGCACAAAAAGGTAAGCGGAGTGTTCTTTACTTAAATAAGCTTAAATGGATTTAGGTAGTCTTTCCTATGTTTTATAGACGAGCAAAGCGTATTCTAATTTTCTTACAAAATGTGTTATGCAGGCATAAAGTATATACATATCCATATATACATTGTGTATATATTTGCCTACAATTCGATGTTTTTGGTTTGTGTCTTTGCTATAGCTAACTGTGTCTCTCTATTCCTCTTTATTGCTGTTTTTTTTTTGCAAATTCAAAATAGTCCGCTGTTGCCGAAAAGCTATCGATAGTTTGTCATCGCAAAACTGCACGTGGATTGTGAATGGCAAAAATCAAGCTAAAAGTGTGGTAACGCTGTTTGCTATGTGGCAACGCAGCACGTTTGGCGCGTTAATTTGAAAGCATGAGAAATGTTAAATGTAATTAAATAATTATTGTAATTAGACAAACACATTTCTCATCTGCGCTTCAAAGCGTCCGTTAATTAGTTTGTAAATAACTGTCAAAAGATGTTTGTGTAAAGCAATTTCAATTTTCATTACAAGTGTTTTGAGCATTAAATTAAATAAACACGCAACTTTAAAACTCACTTAACAAATCCTTTTTGGGGGCATGAAAAACTGTGTGTTTGGGGCGCACATTTTGAGCCGTCACGTGCTTCCTGTTAAATGTTCTAATGATGCGTATTAGACCAGACTAAGTGCCACTCATAAGTGCCGCACACGCACCTGACTTTGGCTTTGCCTTTGACATGAGTTTTACCCAATATGCGTTTTTTATTTCACATCTTAGTTGCTAGTGGAGCTGGGCACACGCCGTTGTCAGGGCAACCAGCTGACGCACCTGCCTGCCCCCGCCTACGCGACCAACAAGGGTACACACGCCGTAAGCTCAAGTCCACGTGAGCCTTGTTGTGCCTGCCTCTGCCCCTGCCCAACCAACGTGTCTGTTCCAAATTTGTCTGTGTGGTGGTGCGACCCAAAGTGCTTTATAGTTACTTAGACGTGATGAAGAGTGTGGGGGGGGGGGGGGGGGAGTGGACGTTGGGGTTGGGCGTGGTGCAAGTCGGCTTCTGTACATGTTTAGATGCCCAAAAGCAGGCATGTTATCTTTGGTCCCCATTTTTCGGGTATTTCTGCACAGTTTTCATTAGCCTAATACAGTCCAGAGCAGACCAGACCAGACCAGCACCAAGAGCTGGAACAAGTGCATAAATCAGCTTTGTTATGTAGGCGGAGGCAGGGGCGGGGGGAGCCAAGTTCACGCCAATTCTCACTAACTTTTTAATTCTCAAGTGTATCAACTGTTGAAATAGGCAAAAGCCGCTACAATTTGCGTTTATTTGAGCGGATTTTCTGTTCACTTGCTTAGGGTTATATTAATTTGACTGGAAGAATACATCTCTGAGGTTAAAAAGTTTATCTTATCAACATCAGATTGCTATATCATATAGTTCTGTAAGAAGAACCAGACGAAAACTCGACCAAAAGTGACAAACTTTTCTGTTTTCAAGATATCCTGGCCCAACTCTGGAACTACAAGCTTTACTATTTGCCCAAACATATCCGTAAGATCATAACAAATCGGCCTAATATATCATATAGATCCTATATTCGTTAGGTTAGACAGACTTTTCTATGAAATCACTTCTTAGCCACATGTCGTCTGCTAGTGTATTAAAACTTCGGCGTGCTGAATACAGAACTTATTTCGTGTTTTTGTATAGTTTTGGATTAAGTTAATGTGCGCTCATTTGAACCGCAGTCGGCCATGAATTAACAAGTTTTTTGGGCAACTGCAAACGGGGCAGTTGTTGCCTGTTGTCGGTCACATAAGTAGGGGCTACCCTTTAGACCAGGAAAAAAAGGTTAAAGGTAACAGGCAGCTGAGTAAGCTGAGCCGCTTTACGGGGAAAAAGACTCGCCTCTGTGTAAACCGAAGCTGAAGCTGACTTTGAAGTTCCTTCAGCTCGTTATTGGTTAATTATTAGGCTTCCAGCCTGGGCCAAGTCAATGGGCCCATATTGTTGCCTTTCATGAGCCTGGCCATAAAGGCAGCCGCACAATTATGTGAATTTTCGTATTCCAAATTTTGTACAATGCCCGCCTCGGCTTACATAATTGCTCAAAAATCTTGTTAACGTGAAATTACAAGCCAAAATTGTGGATAAATTGACTTGATTTTCGAAGAAAATTCGCAGGACTTGAGCTCTGCTTTTCGCCAGTAACTTTTCATGATGTGGCCAGGAGCATACACACAAAACTAATAACATTTTTCATTCATTCACACACACACACACACACATACACACACACACACACACAGCAAGCACAACCATTTTTCATTTCGACACATTTTTAGCTAGATTCAAAGCTAAAATTGCCGAGCCAAGCGATACGTTATAAAATGGATTGAAGCCTGGCCACAAAATTGTGTAATTTGAGGTAGATTTAGGCTATGTACTTGCACAACAACAACAACAAACACACGTCGTAGTGGCTGTTAGTTTTGGGCCAATTTGTGTGCCAGTTATTGGCCAAGAGAGAAAAAAAAACATTACTTTTAGCTGCTGTTTTTTTTTGTTGCTCTCGTTACTCGCTTTAATTAAGTTTACATGTTTGTTGACATTCGCCAGATACAACAAATTTATATTGTGATAATCATGGTAACATGGCCCACAAACAAGATGGTCGCTGGTTCGAGTCCATGTCGCGCCCGGCTCGTGCAGCTGGCTTACCCAATTCCTGAAACATATTTCACATCAAAACATTTTAATTTAATGAAGATGCACAGCATAATCTCTACATATAAAACTGTCTGTTCTGACTGACTGACTAACTGACAAACTGACTGAGGTCGGGGTATACCCGCTAGTATCCTATATAGACATAGGTCGAAATTTCCCACCACCATAACTTGGTCAAATCTCTTCCGATTTTCACGAGGTTTGGATTTTTCTTCATGGTTTGGCCTCTAGATTAAATTTGCATTTAAATCTGAGAACATTATTTTTGGGCGAAATTCATGTAAAATATTACCCTCTGAAATCAATAAAGACATGGGTCGAAATTTCCCTCCCTCATAACTTGGTCAAATCTCATCCGATTTTCACGAGGTTTGGGTTTTTCTTCATGGTTTGGCCTCTAGATTAAATTTGCATTTAAACTTGGGAAAATAATTTTTGGTCGAAATTCATATAAATAGTATCCTCTGAAATCAATAAAGACATGGGTCGAAATTTCCCACCCCCATAACTTGGTCAAATCTCATCCGATTTTCACGAGGTTTGGGTTTTTCTTCATGGTTTGCCCTCTAGATTAAATTTGCATTTAAATCTGAGAACATATTTTTTGGTCGAAATTCATGTAAAATATTACCCTCTGAAATCAATAAAGACATGGGTCGAAATTTCCCTCCCCCATAACTTGGTCAAATCTCATCCGATTTTCACGAGGTTTGGGTTTTTCTTCATGGTTTGGCCTCTAGATTAAATTTGCGTTTAAGTCTGAGAACATAATTTGTGGTCGAAATTCATGTAAAATATTACCCTCTGAAATCAATAGACATACAATTTTTGTGTATCTCCCAAAAGGTTTGGTTTGGTTTTTGTTTACATCTGTTTATTTTGCGGTATGCATTGAAAAATCTATTGGAAATCCAGGCTTGATTTGACTAAACTTGTTGACAGTTTTTGTTGCTTTTTATTCAACTTTAATGCATGGCATTCGCAGCATTTTATTTCTATCCCCACATGATCCTTGCACTCTGTCATAATTCAACATTTTAAGCTTCTTAATGTTGACATTTTGTGCACCAAAATGGAAAGTGAACTTGCCTCACTGTGGGCGGACAAACTTTTCTGTTTTTTTGTACATTTGGCTGCTATTTTTGGCGCACAATTAGCAGGCAGTCAGCTTGAGAGAAGAGAGTTCCTGCTAAATCCAGCTCATGCGGCCATGCAGTGAGAGTTGCAAAGAACTGGGATGCATGCCACTGATTAAAGGACAGCCATCAAAGGCGACGCTCAAGTGTCTCGTAAACGCATTTTGCAGCACAAAGCTTGTACGAGCCATATACTATATGGCTTATAGAGCTCTAAAGCCACCTCAAGTGGCAGAACATAAAGAGAAACACAAATGAAAAAAAAAAGTTCATTTGGCTTGGCCTGCACGAATGTTGAGATACCCTTTCGAAGGCATAATGATTTGATTTTGGGAATTTTGCTTAACCTTAACTTAAAAGAAGTGAGCGAGAATAAATCAATTTGCTTGTACGTTATTTTTCATATGAGAGAGATAGAGGAAGAGAGAGGAAGAGAAAGAGAGAGATTGCGAAACTGAGATTGAGAAAGTGAGAGATTGATAGAGAAAGAGAGAGAGAGATAGAGAAAGAGAGAGAGAGATAGAGAAAGAGAGAGAGAGAGAGAGATAGAGAGAGAGAGAGAGAGAGAGAGAGAGATAGAGATAGAGATAGAGATAGAGATAGAGATAGAGATAGAGATAGAGATAGAGATAGAGATAGAGATAGAGATAGAGATAGAGATAGAGATAGAGATAGAGATAGAGATAGAGATAGAGATAGAGATAGAGATAGAGATAGAGATAGAGATAGAGATAGAGATAGAGATAGAGATAGAGATAGAGATAGAGATAGAGATAGAGATAGAGATAGAGATAGAGATAGAGATAGAGATAGAGATAGAGATAGAGATAGAGATAGAGATAGAGATAGAGATAGAGATAGAGATAGAGATAGAGATAGAGATAGAGATAGAGATAGAGAGAGCAAGAGAGTGAGAGAGAGAGAGAGAGAGAGAGAGAGAGAAAGAGAGAAAATCAGCGATTTCCCTTACGACTATTTCCTTGTGCTGTTTTTGAGTTTCTAAATTATGGTTTTGCAGCTTCGATAATAATCGATAAGACATGCAAGAGGTATATCGGAAACAACATTGCAAGTGGAAGTCCCGTTATAAGAAGAAAATAACAGTATGAGAAGGTCTCAAAAGTACAGTCGCGGTAAAGATCGCTCGCTCTAAAGTTGTGTAACTTGTCTGCTGTCTTTTTTTACAGCAATTTAATTTTCAATCTATAAGTTCAATAAGTGATAAGAGCGAGTGATAAGAGTCGGCTGATTCCGATATATGTACCTCACACAGCACCTCGAAACATCTGTGCCAAGTTTGGCTAAGATAGCTTCTAAGGCAGTCGAGTTAGCATAGAAACCAGACAAAATGACGGGCATAGTCTTAGAACTCCGCTTGGTTTTTTTTCCAAGCAAAAGTTTATCACAAAAAGTTCGTAATTTCTCTTTGTTAGGGTATACAAATACGAGCTGTAAGCATGCGAGGAATAACGAGCATATGTACACCCACACACTAAAACACCCACAAGCACACACACACACTAAAATACCCACAAGCACACACACACACACAAACACACACTCGTATAACGTGTGCAGTAATTTTTGCTCATTTTAAAGGCTGCATATGCATGTGTGTGTGTGTGTGTGTGTGTGTGTGTGTGTGTGTGTGCTCGTATTTGTGACAGGCAGCGGCTGTAATGCAGAAATTAAATTCATAAATATGCAAAAGTTTAATAACATTTCAGACAGAGCTGTCAAAGAAAGCCAAACGCTGAAATTTTCCCAAAAAAACTCTGTTAAATGAAAACTCAATCGCATTCCTTTTGCACTAAAGTTACAATTTTCTTTATTATAAATCCTTGAATTTTATCAGTAGCTGATGGAAAAACAAGCGAATTAAATACTGAAACGAAACTTGAATATTTCGTTGTATTATTGCACTTTTTTTTCCACTCTCTGACAAAGTGATAAAGAGAATTGAATTTCGATAGGTGAAAATGTGTAAATTTGAGGTATATATATACAAAAGAATTCTGTTTATTTAATTAAAAATTGTTTGGGACGGGAGCCAAGTTTTGAACCAGAACCGGAATTCATGAACCAGTTGAACTGAATCTGAAAGCGAGGCTTTGCTCAAAGCCCCGAATATATTTGTTCAAGGTTTCAAAATTTTAGCTTTAGTTGAAATTCATGCGTGGAACTTTTCAAATATCACATGTTGACATTTCGTTGAGCAAATATGTTATTTAATTTTATTTGTATATGACAGTCACCAATACACACACGCACACGCACAGATAAACATATTGTGGTCCCTTTAGCAAATGTCCTTCCGGCTAGTGCTGAAATGTTTGACTCTTGTTATTGTTGTTGCCTGTTGCTTTGATTTCAGTTGTTGTCTGACATTTTGCGATATACGCAATTTAATATGCAATAAGCGGGCTGTCAGAGACACTCTACAACCACAACCAGGCCCTGCCACACACTCTATATTTAGTGCCAAAATAATTTACTCTTTATGTCTGATTCGCTTTTGTCGTTTATCGCTTAGTTGGACACAAATAAAACACGGCGGGCCTTTATTACACGCAAATCGACTGATACGCATTTTGGCCTCAAAAAATTTGTCTGCCAATTTGCGCCTTTAATTGAGTTTCTCGCTTTGATTCGCACTTTAATTTAATTTCATGCAATTGATTTAATAATTGAAAATTGCTGCACTGCGCGCAAAAAAAGCGAGAAAAAATGCGAAAAAAAATGCTGTTAAGCTTGCCATTATCTGCGATTGCTTCCCGATTTATCCCGGCCGCAACTGCAACTGCAGCAGCAGCAGCTGAAGAGGAAGCAGCAGCAGAAGAGGAAGCAGCAGCAATAAGCTAAAGTAATTTATCTTGAGTGTGCACTTAATGTTTCATGCTGTTGTCGTTGTTGTTGTTGTTGTTGCTGCTGTTGAGTCGAATTATCGCGCAAGTGCATTAATTAAGCCTTAAAGGTCGCCATGGCAACGCATTGCCACGAATAGCCAGTAAGTCGGCACATACATACATAAATACACACATACACACATACACACATAAATACATACACACATATATCAAAGAACAGCAAATGATTTTCATATCGAATTGCTGTAGAGTTTGTTCGCCTGGAAAATCGTACATAATTTGCGCTAATTGCTGCTCTAATAAAGAACCTTGTTTTTATCGACACTAATTTCCCCCTGCACTGCAATAACTGTGTCTCGTTTGACTCGTTTGCCTTGTGTGGGCATGACGCAAACTAAAACTAATCAACAAGTGGGCGGGGCAGTGCGCTATTAAACAAGCCTGAGCAGCGGGCACATTGCGTATACGCAACGTTTGCCCGGCACAGAAATGCTTTGCTGTTTGCGCGCGGCATATAGAAAGGGGTTAACATAAAAGCCAAAACCACTCGTAAATAAATTATGCTTGATAATGACAGCAGCAACATATACTCATAACTAAATTTGTGTGAGAGTCTCGTGATATCTCTTGATTTTAGGTTTTGTCTGCTTCGATTGTAGGGTATGATATTTTAATAAAATTGTTTTGTGGGGAGGAAATTTTGTTTGCAATCTTGCCGAGACCCTAGACCAATTGCAGTATAAGAGTTGCAAGATGTACCGGGAAAAGTCCTTTCAACCTTTTTGCTGGAGAGGATACCTTGATATTCTTCTTATATTTTAGTAATTAGAGTATTGGAATGACATTTAATTTGATTCTTATGCTTTATTGTGAAGCGTCAAACTATGTCTACGACGGGAGCCATTTTTCTCCTAATGAAACTTAGATGATTAATCAAGGAACAATATACACGAAAATTGAGGATTTAAGAAAATTATACGCCAATATAATCGTAATTTTAGGCAGAATATTGTTACAGCAAAGATTGTTAGTCCATATCTAAATCAATTTTAAGATTGCGTTTTGAGCTACATTGAGCTCCATCTAACGCAAAATTGTAATATGCCAAATTTGAAACAAGAAAGCATGGATATCTTCTGCACGATTTAATAGCCTTGTAGACAACTGTCTTACGGTTGTGTAAACATGTGAGAATAGTTGAGCTCGTAAGTCCTGAGTTGCTCAAAATATCTTGGGAAATAGATCGCCATATAAAAACTCATTACTCGATCGGTTCTTTCTATAGAGCTATATAATATAGTAGTACGATCTTGAAATAATTCGCCTATACATAGTTTTTTTTTTTTATAAATAGAGCCGCCTTTGACATTTGTCCACGATAAAGCTTGAGGATCCAAACAGGCTTGGCGAAACATCATCTAAGCCAACTGTGTTGTAATAAAAATGTGTGCTATTTCTGATCCAAGACAATAAAAACTTAACCATAGTAAAATACGTAAATGGTAAGCTTGTTCAAAAGATCTTGATAAAAAAGAAAGTATGATATAGTAGTCCGATCCAGCCGGAACCTCCCTGCAGCTTATAGGCAGACTGGACAGACAAAGTTATGTCATATATAGTTTACCTGATATCTTGAAGTTCTCTAATAGCTTTTATAAGGGGTTGATAATTGCAATAAAAGATTCGCTTTATTCAAAGAAAAGCATTAACAAGAACTTGAAAACAAAATGAAAATCAAATTTAAAATTTGCATTGAAGAAAAAAACTCTAAAATCTGTAACGCCGAATGGTGCGATATTGATAGCCATCCTTGGTAAGGACAGAGCTCTCGCCATTGGCAGGACCCTCGGCTAGCACATCATCGCCCAGCGGGGGCAAATACTCCTGGGCCGCTTCCTTCAGCTCGGCGGGCATCTCCACGGGCTGCTTGTAGTGATAGCCATCGTCGCGCAGCTCAGCTGTGGGCACATCCGCCACACGCACTTCGGGCACGGGCTGCTCCTCGGCCGGAGGCGCTTCGGTTTCCAGCTCGGGCGCCTCGGTGCTGGCCACAGGTTCCTCAGCGGGCGGCAGATAATCGCGTGCCACCTTCGGCTCCACAGCGGAGACAACCTCCTCGGTGTCGTCGGCCAAGACTGGAGCTGCAGCTGCTGTTGGTGGCAGATACCTGTTGCTTGGCGGCGGCGGCAGATACTGCGTAGCCAGCGGCAAGTGGGACACATCCCGACGATTGCGATGACGCAGCTTCAGGCGGCGCACCGTGCGATACTCGTAGCCCTGCTCGCCGGTGGCATCAGCCGGCAGAGGTAGAAACTCCGTTGCCGGCGGCACATACTCGATGGCAGCGGCATCCACCAGCTCAGAGTTGCCCTGAGGTGCGGCCAAGGCGGCGCTGGCCACGGCGGACAGGGTGAGCACACTGCTGAGCGAGAAGAGTTTCTGCGAAAAGTAAAACAAGAAGCGCGGAAACAAATGAAAAGGGTTAAAGGGTTACAAGTAATCCTATATGCCTGTCGTCGATTCGTTTTTCTAACCATTTTTTTTTTTTGCTTTCGTTTTCCTTCACGGATTTGGGTTAACGGCGTCTGGCAATTAAAAGTTGCTCGGGCTGTTTGATGGCTTTGCTCCAGCGGACCGCCGAATTTATAGCAAAAACTTTGAGGCACTTCAGCGTTAGCCTTTGCCTCGGTCAGCTCCAGTTGCAGCCTCCAGCCTCAGTTCGCTTCGCTTCAACTTAATTAAAAATCTTCAAATATATTTTTTTTCTTTTAAAAAAGCGTCTTTTGACTCTGTTTGTTATTGTTGCTCTGGCTGCTTTCGAGTGCCACTTGAGTCTCTGCTGCGTGGTCAGGTCTTCAGCTTGAGCTTCATCTTCAACTCCAAAGTCTCCGTGTCGCTATATATCCATTCCATTTGTGCGTCGGCCTTTGGCTTGCTTTAGTTTTTTTTTAATGCCTGCAATGTCAAGTGGCACACGTCGTTGCGCTTGACCTTTCCAGTCGGTGATACGCTGTGACTAGGGGTGTTTAGGGTATATTAGGCTGCCTGCCACACCTATTTTCAACTCCAGTTATAAGCTTTTAGTTAAAGCAGGGTGTCTTTTGTAGACTTTTAGCAATGGATTCTTAGTATTTGGTTGAAATAGAGTATACCACAGCCGTTGCTTTATTTGTGCTCTCTTCTAACAACTTCAGGTAATTCAATGAAGCAGAGCAGCTCCCAGTCGTAACTACTTTAAGATCTATTCCTTATCTTTTTTCCTGCCTGTAAAATATAAGTTGCTTAGTGCAAAGAGAGTATCTCGCAGTTGCTACAACTCTTGAGTAAGCTGCTCGAGGTTCAGTTAAGACTTTGAACTGCAATTATTTAAGTAGAAGCAGAAATAGAAAAGAGTATAAGAGTGTGGCTATGAGTTCAAATTAACAGAGCATCTGGCAGTCGGGCTTGTTTTGTCCAGTTCATTTAGCTTCTCGTTTTGTTTCAGCCTGAAGTAGTTCAGCTTTTTTTGAGGTGTTAATTTGCTGTCAGTTGAAGTACTGCGGAAGTACTACGTTTATTTATAGGCCTCGCATTTGGGGCTCGTTTGCCTCAAGAGTTCCATAAAACTGAAGTGGGCGCCCCGCTCCCCTTCTCCCTCTCCGGGCTGTCTCATTTGTAATTTAAACAAATTATAATATTTTAAATATGCATTGCAAATCCGTTTGCTGTCGTGTCCTGTGTGCGTGGGCAGCTATCAAAATGCAATCAGAGACTTGTTGCGGAAATTATTTATTGATTAAAATATATCAAGGCTGGCGCTCGCCCAAAAAAAGCTGTTGCCGGCTGGCTGTGGGCAAAATCTGAATTTAAATTCCAGGTAAAACTCATTAAATAATCATAAATATAATTAAACACAGATACGCACACACTCATACATATGTATTTTTTATAAATTACAATTTGAATGCAAAGAGTAAAAAATGAAACTATGGATATTTCACAGCTTGTTGCGGCTTTAATTGAATTGTTAATGAACTGATTGGACAATTGTGTGGCATATTGGCGGTGGGCGGTGGGCGTGGCAGCTGCAATTTGTCATTTTTAATGCGAATGCAAATGAGCTGACAACGCACTGAGAAAGTGAAAAGCTGGACAAAATCCCGGCTAGCTTAACAAATATACAGATGCAGATCTATAAACTTCTTTAAAAGACTCCCAGCCAGCTTTCCCTCCGTCCACGTAGTTGGCGAGTAAATCATTTCTGTTTGAGGTGCGGCAACAACTTTTCATTTGCCACGCGCAACTGCGCCTAAAAGTCGACTACATCATTTGGATTTTTTTGCGACTTGTTGCTGCCAAAGTCGTAGAGCACATTTTTGCTCATTTCATTTGCCGGCTTTTCGCCTAAAAGGCACTCATGTGCTATATTTTATGTGCCCAGGTTTGCGTGTGTTTGACTGTGCGTGTGTGTGTGTGTGTGTGTGAGCGTGGTGTGTGCGGGCATAATTTATAGGCCTAGATACACACAAAAAACAAGCGGCAAAGCTTAACACCAAGAGTGAACGACGAGACAAATGCCTTTGAATTATATTAAATACTTGTAAGAAATACTTATGTTTATCTTCTTTCAGTCTCTAAGTTGACTATCGCAGGATATATATATATATATTAGATATATATTAAGTGAATTGGGAAGATGTGTTCATATGATAAACCTCGTATGCCTGCACAACAAATTGACTTTAGCTTTAGTATTCGGATACTTTTAAATCAGTTTCTTCTTCTACTTTATCTTTTGTTTTCATTTTTCTTTCTCTAGTTCCTTTCTACTCCACCTTTCTCTGCTTCTTCCTTCTGGAGCTGTACACTTCAAATTCTCATTATACTTTTAATGCACTTTCCCGCTACTTATATTTCTACTTTAACTTATAATTTTTCCGCTTTTCCTTCTACGTTTTCTGCTTCATATACTTTTACTTGTATTTCGACTTCTTATACTTTTAACTCAACTGAGATCGAAATTTACTAAGACTTTCAGGCTTCTTCTTCTACTTCGTCTTCCTTTTTTTTTTTTTATTTGAATTTTGTTTTTACTTCTATTTCACCTTCTGTTCTTCTTCTACTCAAAATCCTTCTACACCTTTAATTTCTCATTTTACTTTTATTTATACTTCTTATTCAACTTCGCCTTCCTCCTTTACTTCTGCCCTTCTTCTACTTCTTCCTTTTTTCCTATGATTTTTCTTTTTTTTTCCCTTTTTTACGTTACGTCTCCTACTACTTTCTCTTCTTCTTCCACTCATATTCCTCCTACACCCCGAATTTCTCATTCCACTTTCCTGTTGCTTCTATTTATATTTTACTTCTACTTCTTCTGCTTTTCCTTCCAATATTTATCCACCATCTACTTTTCCTTCTACTTCGACTTTTTTTTCTGAATTTAGCTCTGATTCTTGGCAGTTTCTTTTTCCCCTTCTTCTGTCTGTAGCCTACATTAGCTCAACTTTTCAATATTCTCTCCTGCGCAGTCTCCTTTCGTACAGGGTATAGCAACAACAAGAATAAGCGAATCTGTTGTGCTATAAATTGTGTGTGCCTCATTGATTTTTGTGCGGCTCTTGACTTGTGATTTTATTTAAAAGCGATTTTTATGTCTATTTTTCTTGGCAATTTCCCACTCTCTCTCTGCCTCTCTCTCTCTCTGTTGTTGAGGTTCAATTTACATGTGCCACGGTTTGTGGCATACAACCGACTGCCTTTGTGTAGTTGTAGCGATAAAAGGCAACAGCTTAAAGGAGCTCCCAGCGGCTCATCGACCATTAGCCGACTGTAAAGTTAACCTGAGCTGCTGCCGTCGCTGCTGCTGCTGCTGGGAAACTCTTTAACAAACTGGAGCTGGTGCCTGGCCGCGGGCGTAGCACAAGCTGAAAATGTTTGCGCGCCAGTAGGAAAAAGGCAGCTGGCAAGCAAAACAAACCCTGGGCCCGAGGCCGTGGCTGAGGCCAGGTCCTGGCACGGTTTATGCAAATGTCGATGCTTGTGTGTGTTCAGCACTTGTCCGAGTTGTAGATAGCAGCCGCCGGCGCCAGTCGGCTTGTTGCCGCATTTATTAGGTTAAAATATTTATATATTTTAAATAGGCAGCACAGAAAAGGAGCAGCAGGTCAGCAAAAAAAAAAAAATAGAAGGGGTTGCGTCTCGATATCGATTCGCCAAATCTATTTACGAAATTTAAATTGCTTCTTTACAGCTGCTGTAAAGCGTTCGCACAACATGAGAATCCTTTTTGGGGCTAACAAATTGCTGCGACAAGGACACGCATTTGCCATCAATCAATTTATTGCGCATACGCAGCGTTGACTACAGCCTCGCTCCTGCCGGTGCCTATTAATTGGACTATAAATTTAGTCAGCCCACAGAGCGACTGTCAGAGTTGACAGCTACATTTAAATGCACTGAACCGAGCTTCAAATCACATAGGTGGCATAATTAAGCCGCGGCTTGTTAACACGCCCCATAAACAAGACGGACAGCTAATGTGGCAGAGGCCGCTTTCGGAGCTGACAGAGCTGTTGAAAAATTGATGAGCTGCTGGGAGGAATGGGGGCAATGATAATATTAGATTGACATCATAAGACATCATAAATCCATGAAGATTTCCCGCCTTGCGGCGCTTTGAGTGGCTGTCAGTAAAAATTTATATATGTGGGGCAAAAAATATGATTGGCAAAGTAAAAATATCATTGATGCGGAAACTGTTCCGGTTCCCTCTCTCTGTCACTCGCCCTCTTTTCTGTTTTTTTTTTTTTTTTGCAATTTTTCAAATAAAAGTCAAGGAATTACCAAAGAGATTTCTAAATTGTCATAGATTTCGATTTAAATCAGTAAGGCAGTACGAAGTGTTTGAAAAATGACTTGGAATTCGTTTACATTCTTTTTAAGCCCCTGTGAGGGTATTATTATATTGTGAATAATTTTATGAGGTCATTGCAAACTATTCTCTCAATCTGAAAGCTATATTGATCAAATAAGCCATAGATTCGTCTTTTTGCTGTATGCAGAATATATGTTATGGTCAACCAGATCGAAATACTATATCATTTATTAACAAGTTTCCTTTTTATCAAGATATCTTTAACCAACCCACAAAAAACTACTGTCTGTATGTATGTGTGTGTGTGTCTGTGTGTAGACAAATATGTATCTATATAACAATGTATAAATAATCCAATAACCAAACGCAGACACATTTTACTGCCTGCTGCGAAGCAAATCTAATAAAAACCTACTTGTAAATAGAGCCCTTCTATGCGATTCTCATGAATTCAAGTTAGCCTTTCTGGCTTGCGTGCTTTGTTTATAAATATAACATTAACCATCTGTGGCTGACATCTAACGAAATTTATCTCTGCTCATACTCTAAATCCTTCACTTTCCAGATTTTACTCGAATTCGTTTTCTATTTATGTTGTTTGAGTGACATGTTTATATATTAACATATGGATATTCCGGGTAAGTGAACATTTACTTACGCATGTATTTATATTTAAACAATAAATGTTATTGCAATTGAGAGCTGAGCGAAAGCTGTCATTTCCAGCAATTTCATGTCAGCGCCAACATTTATAATGCAGCTCCCTGCCCAATTTCCCCCCCTCCCCCCTCCCCTTCCCTTTGACGGTACATAAACACACATTAAGCTGTTAAAAGCAAACATTCGAATGAAAAGCGAGCTGCCCAAAAAGCTGACCATAAATATTTATAAACTTTAAAGAGCCGCAACGAGTCGAAGTGCCAGAAAATCGATAACAGTGCTTAGGTTTCCAATGGGGAGGGGCAGGCCCGCCCACCTTGCAACACCTGCCAAAGGTAGGCGCCCGTCCAAAATCTCATCCCCAAGGGCGCAAGTGCTGTTGTCTATGCATATTTAAAATTCAATTTGAATTCACGCAGCCGGAAAATGCGTGTTAGCCGAACAAAAAAAAAACGAAAATCGAAGCTTAGCAATTACAGCAGCAGGACACGCGGGACAGTTTTGAATTTCCTGTGTATAATTACCTGTAATTTGTGTGAGCAATATTATCATAGAGTACTTGTAAAAATCTATTTATAGGCAATGCCTCGAAAGGGGAGAGAGTTAAAATCATGAGCTGCGTGCACAAAAGATTTGGCCCCAAAGGATGGTTATCCCTTTTTTGCCTTTACCTTAAATATTAGTCCAATTAGCTGCGCAGTCGGTTGTAATAATTAACTCGAAGTCTGCCAAATTCGTAGCCTGGCTTCGAGCTGCTCAACGTTGCGTATGCGCAATATTCACATTGCGGTTGACTTTGATGGGTGACTATGGGCGCGGGAGGGGAGGGGGATGATGACTGCGGACCCCAAACGAAGTCATATTTCATTAAAAATCAAGCAACATGTAGCATATGCCAGGTGAGGGGGGGAGGGGTAGGGGTAGCGGGTGCGGTGTCGCACCTGAGGCGCTGTTAATTTCCCCAGACACCTTGCAGCGCGTTTTTAGCCCATGTTGCAGCTTGTAAGAAGCTGCCGCCGCAAATGAAAATGGAAACAAATAAAGAATAAAACCCGAACGGGAATCAAAGAAAGTCGCAGCACAACCAGGGTCAACAAGGAGCCACAGCAGCGGGAGCAACAATAACAATTTGATTTCTGTTTGCTTGGCCGTTTCGTCAGTTTTGTCGGTTTTTGTTTGTTTGTTAGTCTGTGTTATTTGTTGTCCTGTTTGCGCTGCCCCGGCAATTTGCCTGGCGCGCCGAGCGAGACTATAAACACTGCTCTGGCTATTTAATTTACATTTAAATTTCTTGTCATGTTGCAGCTGCAGCACAAAGTTTTATTTTCTTACTTTTGTGGGTTCATTGGACACAGGATTCACAGGATTCACAGACAGGCTAATGACTCCATTTCAATTAGACATAATGCGCAGATATCTCGGGGGAACTCTAACGATTTATGCTTTTTAATTAGGTTTCCATTTTGAAAATCGGATTCGTTGCGGCGGGAGGGCGGGGCAGGGCGGGGCAGCGCAAGCATCAAATTCGTCTCGAATTTCAGTTTTATTTCATCTTCAATTACTTTTAATTATTCGCCATTTGTTTTCGTTCTTATACCCTGTAGCTGAAAAAGTTTCTTTTCAAATGTATAATGTGCTTTTTAAATTTATAAATTATTTACATTTAAATTATGTAAAGCTATATATATGCCCGATCAGTAGGAGGAGCTGAGTCGGTTTAGCCACGATTCGAGACTATATTTCAAATGAGAAATACAGAATTGAATTCTTTGTTATCTTTATATTTCCAAACAAGAAAAAACTATAATTATAGATTTGCTTCAATTTATTAGCGAGCAAAGATCATAAAT